GTTAGGAGAACATACATCAGCAGATTGTGCTGTCTCTAATGACACCGAACTCTTCATACCCAGAGCCAGTACACTGGCTCATGCACTTGTGAGTGCATAATTCTATTCTTTTGAGCATAATTTAAGTGAATACATCTTTTCTCATTGAATAAATGAAGGTTAGGGATATTAATCTTACTTTAATTAGTCTCTAACATGACATCTTAAAGCTGAGTTTAAGGGCTCTGGGAAGTATTTCTGGAGAGCTAGGACCATACAGTATATTGTTCTACTCGTTGATATTTATTTGGGATTACAATGTTGTCTGAAGCTGTATGTACTGTCTAATAACAGAGATCTTCCTACTTGAAATCCTCATAGATAGTAAGCTTGGTTTCCCTGCATATAGTGTGGTCAGTTAATGCACTTTACTAACTTTATAGATTTTGAAATGTATACATCTATTTGACAAATACAGACAAAGGAAAAGTTGTTCCCAAGCCATAGAGAAACTTTCATAGAAAATGAGCGCCACCTGGTGAAATATAATGAGTATGACACAGGAAGACATTATTTTATCACTGAGGATTAAATGATTAGTTTTAATTTTATTGAAGTAAAAAAAAAGTTTTGTGTACACTATCCCTAATCCCTAAAAACAGGAAGTTATTTTAATGTAGCGACTGGCTAGCCTAGTTCTTCAAATTATAATTTACCTGCAATACGCAATGAATGAGAATTTGCAAATGTTACATAGTTACAGCGGCTGAAAAGAGACTTGCGTCCATCAAGTTCAGCCTTCTTCACATTTGTTTTTGCTGTTGATCCAATGTCAGATACATTCAGTTTATCCATGCTGTGCAAATTCCTGTGCTTTAAATTGGTTCGAAAGCGAAGATTAGTGATTTCCCAAGCATTTCCGAATGAATTTGGACATTTTCACTGGCTTATGTCAATTCAGACAAAATCCAATCCTTAGTGAAAAACCCTGTATATGCTCAATATAAAATATAGGCTTTGGATTCAGTATTCCAACCAATAGATTTCAATTCAGTTTTCAAACCAATTTCTCGTCCAGGTACCCTACATTCCAACATGGTCTACAAACATGTTGTTCCATCTGCATTAAAAATAATTAGATCTGCAATGAGGGAAACATCACTTCAATTACTCCAATGCTGGAATGTATTTATAATTTGGAAATTAATTCATAAGCTAAATAGAGCATAATTGTGACAGGCAAACTTTTATAGTTTATGAAACACCAATCCATGTTTATAAATACAAGAGATGTCAAGAATAGAGGAGACCTATGGTGGTGAGAACAGTATGGGTGAAGGACAACCCTAAGTTTTATTAATGAACTAAGGTGATGTTAACAATGTTCATATAACATAAAAGTGTCAAAATGAGAGTCATACACAACAAAACAAAGTAAGACCCCTTAGACTTCAAAGTGATGGATAAAACCAGGGCAAGACTATTTTGTGTCCTAGGCAAGACCAGCAACATGCACCCCCCCAAAAAAAACAAAAATGTCAACATTTTGTGTCATTTTCTCCTCCAAGCCCCTTTGTGTCTAATTTTCCCTCCAACTCCTTTGTGTGCCCTCCCCTTCCCCAGACCCTTTGCATCTCTCTACTCCCAACACCCTTGTGGGTCTCTTCTCATCCTTCAGCCCCCCAGTGTCTCTCTTCACCCAGCCCCCTTGTGTGTCTATTGTTACCAGCCTTGTTACCACCCTCAGCCCTTTGTTTGCCTCTCCCCCCTCAGTCACTTGTGTGCTTCTTCCTCCCCCTCAACCCTCAGGCAGTCACTTAGTCTGCCTAGCAGTCATGCTGACCCTGGTCAAACCTCCATTAGAGGTTGGAAAAAAGTGAATGCAACTTGATAAAATCGCTTATCGAAATTGAGGGAAAAAAGCCCAAGATAGAAGTGGAGTCCCCTCAAAGAGCACAGCCCCAAACAAGTATGTAAGACAGCAAGGAGGTTGGAAGGGAAAGTGGGGAGTGATTAACAAGCTGCTCTAAAAAACAACACAGCACCTAGCCTAGGCCCCCAAAGTAACTGAAGTAAAAAATCCCACAAATCACAAAAAGAGGATATACCCCTTAAGAAGAAAAAGGGATATACAGAGAATTTTCCAATACTGGAGAACCTTTTAGAGGCTAGAAAATGGGAGGAGGATACCTAAACCATAATCCTAACCCTGAATGGCCCTAATCTGGCACCATCTAAAATCTTCTAGTGCCCACCTAAACCCAGGGCTGCCATCAGAAATGTTGGGGCCCCTGACACAGCTCAAGGTCTGGGCCCCCCGGCCCCCCAGTCTGCCCAAAGTGCTGCCCCCCCCCGAATCCCATCACAATGGGACATCACAATTCCCCACCCATATGATCTGCCATGTTAACAAACATCAGTGCTGCAGTGCTGCCGTGTATACATTAAAAAGCCTGCAGGGACAGGCTAGACACCAGAACCACTACATTAAGCTGCAGTGGTTCTGGGGACTATAGTGTCCCTTTAATGTGAGGTAAATAAGAGATTAGTGCCACAAATAATATACTAGATTGCCTACTTACAACCAGATGAGGATGATGATGGGCTCTAGCTGCCGTCTGGCTCCACTGGTCTGGTGTACAACAGGCTCTCTGGAGGCGGTTTGTAACTGTGGTCACAAAAATCACTGTTCTGGGAGAACGGGAAGCAGCTCCATTTTTTTGAGGGCCCTTTACACAGCTCAAGGTCTGGGTCCCAGGGTCCACCTTCATGTTCCACCAATGAGTTTGTTCACAGGGAGTGGAGTGTGTGTGTGGGGGATGTCCTGATGTGTGTAAGGAATGCATTGTGTGAATCTGTGTTTGTATGTGTAAGGGCTGCAAGATGAGTTTGTGTATGTATGGGATGCAGTGTGTGCGTCTGTAAGGGATGCATTGAGTGTGTGTAAGGGGTGCATTGTGTGTCCCCCTCCCTCTCATTTCCTTCTCCCCCCCTCCAATTTCCTTCCTCTCCCCCGTCCCTCAAATTTTCTTCCTCTCCCCCCGTCCCTCAAATTTCCTTCCTCTCCCCGTCCCTCAAATTTCCTTCCTCTCCCTGCCTCCCTCAAATTTCATTCCCCTCAAATTTCATTCCTCCTCCCTCCCCCACCCCCGACACCCGGCGGCAGGCGGGTGGTCCGGCGCGCGAGGGAGCACTCTCTGTGTGCTTCCTCTTCAGCTCCCTCGCGCGCCGCGTACTGATGCCGGAGCCGGAAGATGACGTCATCTTCCGGCTCTGGCATCAGTACGGTGCGCGAGGGAACTGAAGAGGAAGCACACAGAGAGTGCTCCCTCGCGCGCCGGCCGGCTTTCAGGGCCAGCCTCTGGGGGGCCCCGAGGTGACCGGCTGCTGGGCCCCCCAGGAGAAGAGGCTGGCCCTGTGGGTACATACCGGGGTCGCAGGGCCCCCTGCGACCCGGTATGTACCCACTGAATCTGGGGCCCGGACGACCTGAGCAGTCCGGGCCCCCCAGGACCGCCGGGCCCATGACAACCGTTGCGGTTGTCATGCCCTGATGGCGGCCCTGCCTAAACCTGCTGGCCCTCAGGCACAAACTAGTACACACTAAACAAATAATAAATCAGTTCTACCCATAATGTGCTAAAGAAAAAATAAGTGAGCAAAAAGGAGCCCAATGCCTGATTCGGTGTGCGAACATGCTATCATCAGGAGCATCATTGAGGATCTGAGCTGAATCTGCTCCTTACGTTTCCAGACCAATAATTATCCATATGAACTGGGCCAATGAGATTGCTGGGGCTGTAGGAAGATTAACCAATCAGACTAAATTGGAGGCTCAACTGTGTATAGCCACACCTCTCAGTGAACACTTACCCAAATCGATTATGAATCCAAGCACTCTTAGGTATTAGACATGTGCAATTAGTTTAGTTCTGAATGTAAATTCGGCCAAATTTCTGCAATTCAGAAGAATTTCGCGCCATTCTGACGCTTCCGAATGTCCGAATTGCCAAAGTGCCGAATTTTTGGAAGTGCCAAACAGAACCAAATTGCCGAAGTGCTTTGGATTTTGGAAAAGTGGCAAAACAGGAGAGGGAGGGAAAATTATGGGAATGATGAGATGAATGTAACCCTAACCCCTAATCCTACCACTAACCCCTTCCAATACCCCTACTCCTAACCCTAGATGTGTACGTCGTTGTGGTGGTTAGGGGGAGGGTTAGAGGTAGGGTAAGGGCTGGGGTTAGGGTTAGGGGTAAGGTTAGGGTTAGGGGTAGGTGTAGGCTTAGGGATAGGGTTTAGGTTAGGCTTAGGGATAGGGTTAAGGGTTAGGTTAGGGGTAAGGATAGGGTTTAGGGGTAGAGATAGGGGTAGGGTTAGGCATAGGGGTAGGGTTAGGGGTAGGGTTAGGGGTTGGGTTAGAGTTAGGGTTAGAGTTAAGGGTTGAGTTAGGGTTAGGGGTATGGTTAGGGGTAGGGTTAGGGCTGGGTTGGGTAGGCTTAGGGGTAGGCTTAGGGGTATAGGTAGGGTTTGGGGGTAGGGTTGGTGTTAGGGGTTGGGGTTAAGGAATTGCCAAAGTCCCGCATTGCCGAAGACCTGAAGTGACAAAGTCTCGAATTTTGAAAGTGCCAAACTGAACCGAAATGCCGAATAGCCGAAGTCCCGAATTTTGGAATTGCCAAACCGAACCAATTTTTTTGCCCTTGCACATCCCTATTAGGTATGCCATGTCTCAGAGGTTGGGAGGGGAAAACAGATCCTCCCTCTTTGCAACCACATAACAGAATACTGTACCAGCCCATGTTTCCCTGTATCTGCCTCCAACCTTTGGAACAATTGCCTCACACCTACTGCGAAATTGCCTCTAACCCTTTTAAATGATATATTCCTGTAAATCTGTGACATAGATATATTGTATTCTGACGTTTAGTATGCCAAGTGTTAACATTGTGTAATCTAATATCAAGTGCTTTCCTTGCATAAAAGTTATACGAGCAAAGGTCATTTTGTATTGATTTGTACTGAGATCTCATGATGTAATCTGATGCTCCTGTTTCCCTTGTTTTTTTGTTCAAACTTTCTAGCATTTAGATACTATGTGGGGCATAGGGAGGTTTAAAACCCTTCTAATAGTAATATGGGGGACTTACTGACACTATCAGGGTTTTCATTGATTTATAATGTTTTTTAACAGGGAAGCTGCCTAGTAAGTGCATTTTTAACACTTTGCACTGCTGAGGATTAGTTTTGCATAATCGTATGCTTTAGCCCTGGATGGTACACGTTTATTCAGACTTTAGCGAATAATCATTAAAAAAGAGAATTTAAACAAACACTCTTCTGTTGGAAAAAGTAGTGGAAAGATTGATAAATCCGTTGTGTAGCAGAAAATAAAATGGTGTTTATCAAAAGAGAATGTTAGGGTGCCAAGAAAAATAAATAAATGAAACATTCTGTGTTTATCTAGAAACTTTAGTTGGCCAATAGGACGAGTCCCATCAATGAACTCTGGAATCTGGAAGCTAGCGCTTGGCTGCAGTCTATATTAACACTGTGAAGAATTTCATCCAAACCCCAGAGACATGGAGTCACTGAGCTTCGGAACAATTCTCCTGACTGCCTTGATATCACTTTTAACATTGTATTTAATATGGGGCCATGTATCTACAAGACGCAAACTCCCCCCTGGTCCCACTCCTCTGCCGCTGTTTGGAAATCTCTTGCAGGTCAGGAATGGACAGATGGCAAAAACCCTGATGGAGGTTAGTACGACTTATTACAACATGTGAACACACCTTTAATTGCATTCGTGAAAGAAGCACTTGTAGCTAATTCACTAAATTGTATAAAAAGTATTTGAGTAACTTCTTTAGATCTGGTGAACTAATCCTTAATGTTTGTATTTCCAAAATGTTATCAGTTAAATAAAATTATTAAGATTTTGCAATGCTCCATTATTTAGCTGTACTTCACTGCTTAAAATTAAAGAAAATAAGGAGATGGGGCCACACCAAGAACATACATTTTTAACCAGTTTTGCTGCCATAGAAACCAGCATGTATTCAAATTACATATTAAGTTACAGCGCACACACACATTTTTTTTATAAGGCTGCTTAAAATCATCTATCTCACCAAACAATTATGGGGATTCAATTCCACCGTATGGCCATATTGTGTTTAGTCCATCACTACGTCACAGTACCCCAATATTGGTGGGTCCTACTCTAAAATTGTTAAAATTAGCGTTTGATTATTGGTAACCTCTCCTATTACTCCCCATAATAATTCCTCCTATTACTCCACATTATGCTCCTATAACTCCTCCTATACCTCCATATACCACCTATATAAGAACTCCTCTTATTACTCCATATTATGCTCATATAACTGCTGCTATTATTCCATATAACTCATCCTATACCTCGATATAATCTTCCCTATAATAACTCATCATATTAATTTATATTATGCTCCTATAACTCCTCCTATTACTCCATATAACTCGCCCTATATCCCGCCTATTACTCCATATAACCCTCCCTATAACTCCTCCTATTACTCCATATAACCTCCCTATTACTCCTCCTATTACTCCATATGACCTCCCTATAACTCCTCCTATAACTCCATATAACCCTCCCTATAACTCCTCCTATTACTCCATATAACCCTCCCTATAATGCCTCCTATTACTCTATATAACCCTCCCTATAACTCCTCCTATTACTCCATATAACCTCCCTATAACCCCTCCTATTACTTTTTATAACCTTCCCTATAACTCCTCCTATTACTCCATATAACCCTCCCTATAACTCCTCCTGTTACTCCATATAACCCTCCCTATAACTCCTCCTATTACTCCATATAACCCTCCCTATAACTCCTCCTATTACTCCGTATAACTCTCCCTATAACTCCTCCTATTACTCCATATAACCCTCTCTATAACGCCTCCTATTACTCCATATAACCTCCCTATAACTCCTCCTATTACTCCGTATATCTCTCCCTATAACTCCTCCTATTACTCCGTATAACTCTCCCTATAACTCCTCCTATTACTCCATATAACCCTCCCTATAACGCCTCCTATTACTCCATATAACCTCCCTATAACTCCTCCTATTACTCCGTATATCTCTCCCTATAACTCCTCCTATTACTCCATATAACCCTCTCTATAACCCTTCCTATTACTCCATATAACTCTCCCTATAACCCCTCCTATTACTCCATATAACCCTCCCTATAACGCCTCCTATTACTCCATATAACCTCCCTATAACTCCTCCTATTACTCCGTATAACTCTCCCTATAACTCCTCCTATTACTCCATATAACCCTCTCTATAACCCTTCCTATTACTCCATATAACTCTCCCTATAACCCCTCCTATTACTCCATATAACCCTCCCTATAACGCCTCCTATTACTCCATATAACCTCCCTATAACCCCTCCTATTACTCCATATAACCCTCCCTATAACTCCTCCTATTACTCCATATAACCCTCCCTATAGCTCCTCCTATTACTCCATATAACCCCTTCCTATAACTCCTCCTATTACTCCATATAACTCCTCCTATTACTCCATATAACCCTCCCTATTACTCCTCCTATTACTCCATATAACCCTCCCTATAACTCCTCCTATTACTCCATATAACTCTCCCTATAACCCCTCCTATTACTCCATATAACCCTCCCTATAACCCCTCCTATTACTCCATATAACCCTCCCTATATCTCCTCCTATTACTCCATATAACCCTCCCTATAACTCCTCCTATTACTCCATATAACCCTCTCTATGTCTCCTCCTATTACTCATATAACCCTCCCTATAACTCCTCCTATTACTCCATATAACCCTCCCTATAACTCCTCCTATTACTCCATATAACCCTCCCTAAAACTCCTCCTATTACTCCAGATAACCCTCCCTATATCGTCTCAAATTACTCCATATAACCTCCCTATAACTCCTCCTATTACTCCATACAACCCTCCCTATAACCCCTCCTATTACTCCATATAACCCTCTCTATAACCCCTCCTATTATTCCATATAACCCTCCCTATAACTCCTCCTATTGCTCCACATAACCTCCCTATATCTCCTCCTATTACTCTATATAACCCTCTCTATAACCCCTCCTATTACTCCATATGACCTCCCTATAACTCCTCCTATAACTCCATATAACCCTCCCTATAACTCCTCCTATTACTCCATATAACCCTCCCTATAACGCCTCCTATTACTCTATATAACCCTCCCTATAACTCCTCCTATTACTCCATATAACCCTCCCTATAACTCCTCCCATTACTCCATATAACCCTCTCTATAACCCCTCCTATTACTCCATATAACCCTCCTTATAACTCCTCCTATTACTCCATATAATCTCTATAAAACTCCTCCTATTACTCCATATAACCCTCCCTATAACTCCTCCTATTATTCCATTTAACCTCCCTATAACTCCTCCTATAACTCCATATAACCCTCCCTATAACTCCTCCCATTACTCCATATAACCCTCCCTATAACCCCTCCTATTACTCCATATAACCCTCCCTATAACTCTTCCTATTACTCCATATAACCCTCCCTAGAACTCCTCATATTACTCCATATAACTCCTCCTATTCTTCCTCCTATTACTCCATATAACGCTCCCTATAATAACTCCTCCTATTATTCCTGATTATGCTCCTATAACTGTTCCCAATGCTCTGTATATCCCTCTCTATAATGCACCTTATTGCTCTATATAGGAACTATTTGAACTATGAAGTCTTCCAATGTCTCTATACAAAGCCTTATATTCCCCCTGTATATCCCTTCCTATAATTAAATCTAAGTTTGTGTAATTGTTTTACAGCTGAGTAAACAATATGGCTCCGTTTATACCTTTTACTTTGGCCTACGTCCAGTCGTTATATTCTGTGGTTATGAAGCCGTGAAGGAAGCACTTGTTGATCATGGAGAAGATTTCACAGGTCGTGGTGAGCAGCCCACCGTGGACAGAGTCTTCCAAGGTTATGGTAAATAATCCTCCATAACCGTTCTTCTTAATAAGCTGTTCATATATGATCTTCTATTAATGAAAATAAATGCATAAAACTCAATAGTTATGGTGGAAGATAACAAATGTAATTATGTACAATTATCCTGATAACTGTAACAAGATTCCCAGAACGCTATGCCACAATATGCAAATTATCTCACAGTGTATAACTCTCAGATCCCAGTCTACATTTCTGTTGGCTTTCTTAACCTTTCCGTTTTGGGCTGATACTGTGAAAATGTATGTAAATACGGACTGGTATAAAGAGATAACCAGCAGCAATCAGAGGCTTGCTAGGAACATTAGTCTAGAACTGGTAATAGTTTGGAGGATAGATCTGAATAATCTTATTCCGTGATGCAGCAATAACCTGATGCTGTCTTGAATAAGGGATCGTTAAGCACTATATATTCCTGTGAACCCACCACCCTGTTACCGAATGTAAGACCCTGTATGCTAGGGCAGGGCATCTTGCTATTAAAAAATTATTAGATTGCTACCAGGTAGAGTATTTTTCATTTTCTATCATTCACATAGTTAAAAACATAGTTTACAATCAAAGGGGAATGCCCCAGATTAGCAGATACTAAGGTGAGAAAAACAGTCACAGGGGGTCCCGTTGTGATCATGTCCCTAAATCCCCATGGAATAGGAGATCTGAACACTGAGTGACGTAGCTCTCTCTTTTCTTCTCCCACCTAGATAAGATGTTAAATAAAAATGTGGTAGGCTGCTAAGTCAATCACCCGCTCTTAGTTGGTGTAGTCCACCAGGCTTCTGCTGGGTTCTATATTTCTCCCCTTAAAAACCTTGCATCAACCTGACCCTGTTCTCCTATCAAAGGACTGTGCTGGGTCCGACTGTTATACCATCAGGGGCTGTGATGCATTCGCTGACTGGTGGTACCTCTCACTGGACAAGGAGATTCATTTTGGGATGAACAACAATTCAGCCGCATTTGGGTCAATCGGATGATCATTGACAAACTCCGAGGAAAAATTTACGGAATCACGAAATGCACAATGACTGAGCATGCTTGGTTTGGGGCTTTATGATTCTGGATTTGTCATAAAAAGATGACGATTTCACAATCACTAAATGTTGATTTTTTTACACGGACCGAGTGAGAAGTGACCAACAGAGGCAAAAAAGGAACAGTAGGAAAAAAGCTATATTTATATATTATATATTGAATACATTTATAACATATAAATATAGTTTTTTTTACTGCCCGTACTATTTTTCCCCTATTTGTTGGATTTTCTCCCTTATCTGTGAACCAGGTGGGGTAGGGGATTCTCTATTAGAGTATTGCTAAATATGTACAAACAATTATACTATGTTTGTATTTTGCAGCACACTGATTGACCTTTTTTCATGCCTATTTTGATCTTCTGATTCGGTTCTTGGTATCTCGATTTTGAAATTCTGCCGAATCAACTGACCGAAATTTGTGTGTCCCAAAAAGTTTCTAGTTTCAGAAAAATTTGTGTGTCCCAAAAAGTTTCTAGTTTCAGCGAACATTCTGATAACTTACATACTTTGATGGCACAGTTCATCTTCTCTTTTTGCAGCCTGTATATAAAATCTGAGGTTGTGTATTATGGTTAATACTATTCCGAACAGCTACAATTAAGTTATTTATTGTTATGTAGCTGGAGCACTAACTGTGCTCTATAGATGTGTGATGCTGTATCATAATGCAATGTATGTGTTTGGTCTCTCTTTAATCTCTATTTAATATCTGGACGTGGGTCACACAGGGGAACTGGGGGAGGGACAAAGAAACATATATAGAGTAAACACAAATATAGTGTAGTATGACCAGTGATAAATGTGAGTAGTGATACAAATGAATAAACTCACATGGGATAGAGCCTCTTGCGATAGGCTCAAATCTCATAGCCGACGTTTGCTATGGTGACAGAGTCCCACTAAATAACAGCAATAATCTAGTACAAGGAATCAATGATAATCAATCTGAGAGGATTTCCAGAAGTAAATATGGACGTAACGTGATTGAATTCTGACTGTGTTCCAGGATTAATAGCGAGTGAAGGTGAACGATGGAGGCAGCTCCGGCGCTTCTCGTTATCAACTCTGAGAAACTTTGGTTTGGGGAAGAGGAGCATTGAGGAGAGAATTAAGGATGAGGCACAGTCTCTGGTAGATGAACTTAAGACATACAAAGGTAAGTTGTAGTGTGCACTTACAACATGTTATAACCATTTCTTGCTTTAAAAATATTTATATAATTTATATTTAGACAATTGTTTATATATATATATTATATGTTTCCTACGTACATTAAGACAAAAATAATTAACCAGGGTAATGATACATTAATCTTCCACTACTCTCCAGGTAAGTCCTGGGATGTAAATATTACTATTATCCAACGTAATTATACTCACCCAACCAACTCAGTAAGGAAGAAAGGCTAAACGTATGTTGCTGAGAATAAAATCTGTGACTGAGATATAGAAGTTAGAAGAGGTAGGCAATCTTCGGTACTCCAGATATTCTAGACTACATTTTCCCTGGTAGTCCACAACATCTGGAGTGCAGGAGGTTGCCTAACCTTGAGCTAGAGCAATTGTCACTATCTCAGTAAACAGATATTTATTTTTTGGAATATTTGTTAGTCACATACGTATACGTATTTTTAATAGTTTGTGTCATGAAAGCAATGCCATCCAACAGCCAATAGATTTTTCAAGTCATTGTCCTAGCAGGACCAAGAACAATCAGTAAGAAACTGCATTTGTCTTCCACCTAGTATGGTATGGTGGGGCAAGCAGTCCATAATACAAGGATTTTGTTTAATAAATTGTCTAACTATTCTAACACTCTGTGGGTGCCTGAATTTTGAAGTCATTGGTGTTTCTTAGAAGTTTCTTTGAATCTCTCTTTCTTTCAGGACAGTCAATTGACCCAGCTGTTCTAATTTCCAAAGCTGTATCTAATGTCATCTCCTCGGTGGTGTTCGGTAAACGCTTCGAGTACAATGATAAAAAGTTTCATAGGATGCTTGATATATTTACAGAAACATTTGAACTGATGAGTTCCACCTGGGGACAGGTAAGACTATGGCAACGAATTGACATTCTACTGTTTTTATCTTACTGTATTCCATCAAAGGACAATCCCTTTAACATGTTAAACACGTGCCATTCAATATATCATTTCTGCGTTGGCCACATTTGGAAAGTAATTGTTTTAATAGAGTAGGATTTATGAGTTTATCTATATGGTTCTTCCTGTATTCACATTTACAGGGGAATTGTATGAAACTTATTTTTTTTTTCAAATGGAAACAATGTTCATGTATACAGTATGTACAACATCATGCTACAGTGATGTCTGTAATCCTTCTGTTACCAGCAAGACTCTGGAATGAGTTTGAATTGGTCAGGGAACGTCAGATTATAAGTATATGAAGTATCTCACTATAAATTTGTATTTACTTTGAAAGTGACTTTTCACTTAAATAAATGATTTAATGAAATATTTTAATCTCCAATCTGACACATGACTTTCTTGTGAAAGGACCTAAAACCGTTTCATAGGTGATAAGTATGGAAAGCAAGTTTGAAAATATGAAGCAAATCACAAGTGGAAACACACTACAGGAAAAGATCAAGTACACAACAACTACAACAGAGAACCGAACAATTATATTATGTCTTGTAAACAAGTTAAAACATTGCAGGGAATACACACCACAGGGGGCACAATACAAAGAATAGATATTTTTGAGAGAGCAAAGGTAGATAAATAGTAGAGGCAGAAACTGACTCCAGCGAGCCTTTGAAAAGTGACCGGTGAGAGACAAAACGTGTTTGGTTGCCAAGTTCCAAAACAGGCTGCATGTCCGGTGGACGTGATGAATGTGAAAGAGAGCCTGCTGTGGACGTGATTCTTGGATCTCCGTCAAACACAGACCCCAGTAGAGGTATCAGGCACATTTGAACATTGAATCTCTAAGCATAATTGTAATTATTAATAAAGGTTGCTTTTATGTACTTTCACATATGGAGCATTTCCTCTTTTTGATGCCCACTGTGAATGAAATATCTTCTCAAGCTAACTTCCAGATCTATTATAAGGTGCAAGACTGGAAGGAAAGAGAGGGATCTTAAAGGGACACTATAGGCACCGAGACAACTTGAGCTCATTGAGGTCTGGGTGCAATGCCCTGTCCCTTTAACCCTGCAATTGTAATTATTGCTGTAATTGATAAACTGAAATTGCAGGGTTAACTCCACCTCTAGACAGTCACTAGAGATGCTTCCAGGTCGTTAAGCAACTTTTGGTCACCTAACTGACACTGGACATCCTCCCTCTATGCATGAGGACATCCAGCGTCAGCTAAAACCCTATTGAAGAAATGCTTTCCTATTGGTTAATCCTAATGTGGGCGCGGTAGGTCACTTTGCTCCAACATGGGACTGTCCCTTTAACCCATTAAACATGTCATTAGGTCACTTTGCTCCTACATGGGACTGTCCCTTTAACCCATTAAACATGTCGCTGTCATTAGGTCACTTTACTCCAACATTGGACTGTCCTTTTAACCCATGTCCCTTTAACCCATTAAACATGTTGCTGTCATTAGGTCACTTTGCTCCTACATGGGACTGTCTCTTTAACCCATTAAAAATGTCACTGTCATTAGGTCACTTTGCTCCTACATGGGACTGTCCCTTTAACCCATTAAACAAGTCACTGTCATTAGGTCACTTTGCTCCTACATGGGACTGTCCCTTTAACCCATTAAACATGTCGCTGTCATTAGGTCACTTTGCTCCTACATGGGACTGTCCCTTTAACCCATTAATGTAACTTTCATTCGGTCACTTTGCTCCTATATTTAGCGTATTTAACATGTGATTATACAGTGAGATGGTGCACATTTATCTATTTGAGTACTTTTATTAACCTATTTTGCATCTGATTGCAGATTCAGGATATGATTCCTTTCATAATGAACCATATTCCTGGACCTCATCAGAAAATCACCGCTTTATTAGAGGAACTGAATGCGTTTCTTGCAGAGAGAGTTAAAATAAACCAGGAAACGTTGGATCCTAATTCACCGAGAGACTATATTGACTGCTTCCTATTAAAAATGGAAGAGGTACGTAAAACAGACAGGGTTTCAACTGGGATCTACTAATTCATGTTTTAAGCTACTCTTTACCAGGGTTTGCCTTACAGGGTTAATTTTGTAAAGTGAGAAATTCAAAGTGTATTTCAAATTTAAGGCAAAAATAGCCAAAATGAAAGCATTACTGACTTTGAGAATATTTTCAGTTTTACAATATTGACCTTAAATTTGAAATTAACTTTGAATTCTTACTTTTGTGAATAACCCTGTTTGTCTAAAGGAGACCTGTTGGTGGTCTTCATGTTTGAAAGCTGTGAAGGTAAGTCCTTGATGAACACTTTGCAATCCCATATAATATTGATACATGTCGAATCTGAATAAGTTCCTACTCAAACATGTCTGTGTATGAGTTCAACTCCCATGGTCTGATTCCTGGACCCTTTTAAAGCCATAGTAAGGTGCGTATTGGGAAGGGAAGCATCACAAGCTTCTAGTCTTTAAAATCACAAATATCACTAACTTAAAAAATAAGATGATATGAAAAGATACCAGGAGCTACAGTAAATTCACAGATAATCAATAGTTAATGTCGATACTAATACTCACATATTATTTGGGAATGTAAAGTACGTTCTGCAAACATACAGTTACAGACATACTAATTTTAACAAGGTGTTATTGTAATTAAAATATTGTTTTTCATACACTTTTGATCATTAACTTGTCTACATTACTCTCTATGCTGCCTGTCCCTCGCAGCAAAGTGATTGATTTGGCTTTCTTCATTTAATTAATTACTCTAAATTTAATATCTCTTGCACCTTACCTACCGTGAGGATGCCCAATATATAAGTTTAAATCTTAAATATGAAATTCCATATGTGATACATTTATTGGACCTTACACTTCCAGGAGAAGAACAACCCAACATCAGAATTCCACATGAGAAACTTACTGCTAAGTCTCAATAATCTGTTTTTTGCTGGTGGGGAAACTGTGGCTACAACATTAAAGCATGGGTTTCTAGTTCTTCTCAAATACCCAGACGTACAAGGTAAAACAATGTCCTACTTAAAGACAAGTTGTCACATTCTGTTCTGTTCTGCGGAGATGTCTGGCTTTGGCTTCTGGTATCCAGTACTCTTTTTACAATTCTTGTTTAGTTTTTCTTGGTTTTTCTGGTTTTCTATTCCATGTCTGGTTTTCTTTATGCTGGGTTTTCTGGGATCATTCCTTTATTCCGTTCCTGGAATTCCCAGTCTCTTGAATTCCTTTAAATGTTTATTTTGTGTTGCCACTCCCGTTCCTTTTCCATTAATTCGTTTTGTTTTAGTTGGTTCCTGCAGGCAGTAGCTCCAAGTCTTCTGCCCATTTCTTGCAGGTAAGTGCTGTGTGTTATTATTTTTCATTTAGTCATGCATATCTAGGCAGTCTAGGACCCACCATAATTGGAGGACTTTGACGCAGTGGTGGACTGCATAAATCTTGGCCATTTATGTATGTCTAAATCTCCAGTCTTTTACATCGATAGTACTTAGTTATGTCTCCTCTTGTTTTGCTTTGTATCTCTTGTCTTGTTTTATTTTGTCTTGTATTCCCAGTTCATGTACAGTCCTGCCCTGCCCTATTCTTGTTTTCCTCATGTCTTGTGTACATGTTCTGGGTTCTGCTTTCTGTCCTGCTCCGGTTTTGGGTTCTCCTAGTTTTGTCTTGTTTTCTTGTTTGGTGTCTATTCTAGTCTTACCTTGTTTCCGTACTGGATACATATCTGCTGCAGAGCCTCCCTATTCAGATCCTGGGAGGTCTGCTTATTGTCATCTGGTACCTGGTATGTGGCCGCAAAAATGCTGGTGCTCACCACCAGAGGGCATGTGGTTACCCTGCACCAGGCCCTAATAATCCATTTCCACACAGTGACTCCTAATATCAAGATCAGGCATACTGGGTACCGGTCACACAAGTCATGGATAATACAGTCTCCTATTTCCAATGTAAAAACCTGGACACTTTAAATTATGGACCTCAATGAACTACTACCAAAGTTATTTACTAAAGTGAAAATTAAAGGTGCCCTTCCAATTTTACACCAGACTGCATAGCTGACTTAGAGAATATGTCCAGTCCAGCTATTGTTTTGCGTAAAATTTGAAATTCACTTTGAATTCTCACATTGGTGAAAAATCCTGTAATTGTAATTATGTCAGGCTAATTCAGTCAAACTTTATTTATTCCAATGTATACCCTAGAGCAGGGATAGGCAACCTTCAACACCCCAGATGTTTTGGACTACACCTCCCATGATGCTTTGCTGGCACTATGGGTGTCAGAGCATTATGGCGGCTGTAGTCCAAAACATCTGGAGTGCCGAAGGTTGCCTATCCCTGCACTAGAGTTACGTTCATGATGCAGAACTCATGAAGATTACATTGCACATACTTAAAATAGGAGTTTGGGGGAATGTAAAATAACCTCTTATCGGTCCAACACAAGTGGATATTTTGGTTTTTAACCCTTACCTCAATACAAGAGATTAATCTGAACTAATGAAAGATCCATCTATTTGTTGTGAAGGTTTTTTGAAACCTGCACTGAAACACGAGGACTGAGAATATATTCAGAATTACACTTTACTGTTCACCTAAATGAAAGGAAATATTTTGGATTTATTTTCAATGTGTCTGCTGTGCGATGTTTCTAATTCCTGCTTTGAACCATGTCATTCTTTGGCCTTAATTTCAGCCAAGCTCCATGAGGAAATAGACCGTGTTATTGGTCAGGACCGCAGCCCAACCATTGAGGACCGGAGTAAGATGCCTTACACAGATGCCGTGATCCATGAAATCCAACGCTTTAGTGATGTTATCCCAATGAATGCACCTCATTCAGCAATAAAGGACACAGAGTTCAGGGGATACACCATTCCTAAGGTGGGATAGTTACAAAGTTCCATAAAGAATCTCTCTACGGACCACAACTAGTGTGGTCTGACTTCATATGTAGCCCAGTAATTACTAACACGTTCATAAAGAAAAGACTTGCTGACTAGATGCTAGAATGTTTGTGTATAGGAATGTGCTAGACATAACAGTTGGAATGTTCAATATAAAAGAATGTGCACACCATGGTTAGAATATTCTTTTTACCTTCTAGGGCACTGGGGTGTGTGCTCTCTTGTGCTCTGTCTTGGAAGACGCCAGCTATTTTGCTACCCCTCAAAAATTCAATTCCAACCACTTTTTGAATCCTGATGGGTCCTTCAAGAGAAATGATGCCTTCATGCCTTTTTCTGCAGGTACAATTGCAAATCTATGAGTCTGGTACTAAACTATTAGAGTAATAAAAGTCTTCTTCTAACATCAGACCTCATCTCACCCTTTCACACTCACACATGGGTCTCAATTACATTCCAGCCAATAGTTAATAGCGGCAATTTATCAGCTCCCTGTAAGCCTTTTATTTAATCAAAACAATTATATTATCACCATTAAAGTTTTATTGAACAATTTTATAAGATACTTAGCATTGAGCATATTGAATTCAATGGAATTTTTCAATAACATAATTCTTGAAAAATTGCCTTGAAGATTTTAAGTAAAAAGCTGTAGATTATTTTTTGACCATTTTACTGCTGGCACCACTTGCATTAACCTCCATTGTATTAATAGAATGGTCGTATTGATGCCAACAGGCTATTATTTGAAATATTTTAGCCATTAAATAGACAAAAAAAAATTGCATCTGAAGTGTGTTTATCAGATCATTTTTCTCGAGCAGTCAGCCCATTCAGCAGGTTTGCCTTTGAGAATTCCGTCTGACAAATACACGTAATCCTCTCATTGTTTGCTAGTTATTGTCACCTCAATAGTGCATCCGTTGTTCTATATCCAAGAATTCACTTACTACGTCAGAATGCCACCTCATTCCTCCAGCTCTACCTAAACCAGAAAGTAAAACTCTTTCTATCTGGTTATCTCTCGATCATCAAGTCTTATTTTTTTTTCCAGAGAGGTTTGTGTGGAGCAGGGCAGTGAGAACCCAATGGATCTGGATAAAAAACACAAAAAAAGACATGTGGGAACACATGAAACTTACAGAGTTATTCACTAAAATAAGAATTAAGAGTGAATTGAAAGAGAATTTAAAATGTAAGGCTAGAATTGCAAAATTGAAAGCATAGCTGACTAGCAGGATTTTTATAGGAATTTGGTTCCACCATATGGTCATACCATGTTAAGCCAACCACTACATCACAGTACCACAATATCGGTGGGTCCTACACGACTTTTAGCACAGGGGATAAGCATGCTTGTGTGTTTGCATAATATTATAGTCAGTAGTCTCTGGAGCAAGGACAAGGTAAGTTAATACATTTAGGAATTGGACAATTTAAAAGGTATTTGACTACAATTTCTTTATAAACCTTCTCAATGCCTGTCTTTTTGCAGGAAAGAGGATGTGCCTGGGTGAAGGTTTGGCACGAACAGAACTCTTCCTCTTCCTCACTATCATATTGCAGAACTTCACCTTAACCTCTCAGACGCAGTTTACAGAGTCTGATATCACCCCAAGAATGGCAGGGTTTGCAAATGTTCCTATATCTTACCAAATGTCATTTGGGACACGTTAAAAATACACAATCCATAATGTAAAATAAACACACCATTTAAACATATGTTAGCATAATAATATACAGCAAGCCAAGAAGAAGTGGAGAAATACTAAGAAACAAGATTCCATGACTCCATCAGATCTAGCCAAATTCATTAATATCATTAAACGTCTGATACGCAGTTTGTTAATGATTGTAAAAACAGATTTACATTGGTTTACTTGTGTTCCATGTAAAATATCAGCAATGTAGTTATTTATAGAGTAATATAAGCCCGTAGGAGAGAGCAGCCTTGTTTTGAGGCCAAAAATAGTTCTCAAATCTTTATTTAAAGGATAGAAAGTCCATAATTAGTGAATAATCTCTGAGACCAACAGCTTATTTACAAGGAAAGGGACTACGGCCCTATAGTTCCTGAATAATAATATAATATGATTAAAAATAAGAATATAAATATTTAGGACTCATGAAGAGCTAAACTAGGTCCCTCTCCTTGAATATTATAATTAGGACCCCCGTCCACCAACAATTGGTGTTGACACTAGATTTTCTCTCCTGAATATTATAATCAGGACCCCGAACAGACTGGCCAAATTCAGACTGGAATTGGTTCTATTAAATCTACAAATTGGCAATGCGCTCAGAATTTGGTTATTTTCTGTACAGAAAACATAAAACACTTTCTAATGAATCAATACTATTATAGAGAATGCAGAATTCTCTATGGACCCTATAATAGAATAGGGGGGAAAAAAATATAATAATTTATAAAGCCTATAATAATACAAAGTGTTAATATTCAGTAGTGCCAAAATATTGTAAAGGATATAGAACTGCCTTTCACTTTCAGTTATACAGTCCATTAAATATCACAGATAATCTTGTCTACAGTCCCTTATTGTAGATAGGTCACCCATTCCTGTGCTCAAATAGCAGAAATGCCATTAATTGCAATGTGTCAATTTGCAAATGATTTTATATATATATATATATTTTAATGTACTGTAAGTTGAATGTACTTTTAAATACGTGTGTTTTTCAATATAATTATGCAACTGAATACTGGTGCTTCCATCCACAACTTTATACCTGTGAGAATATAATTAATTTTAGATAATCTTACTGATGGAATGCTGTCACAGCGAGAAACTTGTGGCCCATTGAGAACTCGCATTGATCTTTGTAGATATTGTTAAATCCAATGTCCATGACATCCATTCAAGCACAGGGCTGCTGTGTAGAGCAGTGGTAATGTCTGTAAGACAACCTCAACAGTAAGTTTCCCTTGGGAAGACACCTACCAATGTATATCCACTTGCCTAAATCCTCATAGTTTGTAAGCTTTTTTTTGAGTAGGGGCTTCTTAACCTCTCAGATAACTCATTGTTGGTGCTGGTAATAATAAAGTGCTATTCTTGTGTAAACTTCATAATGTTAGTATTCTGCTTCAACGCTAACAACAATTTAAGAGAAGATTTTGCGGAAACAGTGTAAATACACTTGTTGTTACATCTTAGAATGAGTATGTATTTTGTATATACATTTTTATATGTATTAAAATTGTGGATTTAGAATTCTAAAACGTTTGTGTACATTTCATTTGTTTTTTCATTTCATTAATCAAAATAATAATTGTAATGAATGTATATCTTAAATAAACTTTTAAAATGTTATTTTTGAGTTAGTGTTTGCACTGCTGTTGAGTAACTTTAACCCCTTAAGGACCAAACTTCTGGAATAAAAGGGAATCATGACATGTCACACATGTCATGTGTCCTTAAGGGGTTAAATGTACTTGTACTTGAAATTCTAATAATTTAGAAAAACACGAACAGCGATTTTAGCCAACCAAACACAAATCGAGGTCTCTACGAAACATTCATCTTGGCTTCTAGTATAATAGAATTACAAGAAATAATATATTGATTGTCACTTAATTTTACAGGCCACTCATCATCATTATTATTTATATTTAAAAAGCAATTTAAAGAATAATGAACACTTAACCCATTAACTCAGAATCATGTGCAAGCAGTGTTTTAAATTTTGTATGCAAATTGAAATTTAGTCTATAAAACCTCATTGACCCTCATTTATAATCCAGAAATGATAACTAGCCTGTAGAACAACACATTTCTCTGCCATAGCCATTGACCACTTGTTTAATTTGCTTAAAATACCAGCTCACCTCTCCTTCCAAACAGTAATGGATGTCTCAATAGGTTATATCATTCCTACAGTCATGGAGGAGAAAATGGACTCTCCAGTGTCACAGATAACATTACATTAGCATTGATTAAGATTTCTTTGGTAGTTTTAAATACCTTCATTTAAAAAAATATATGATTTAACCTTATTTACTGTATGTGAGTATTGCCTCAAATGCAGATATTCTGTTGCAATTTTCAGCCAGCTGTTCTGCTTGTAATGCCTTTAGGTTTTTTTTTTCAAATATCTGTAAGCACGCTAGTTGACCATTTGTTTACATTTTTGTTACACTTAATGAATGTGACAAAAGTATATTTTTACTTTTATACTACTATTTCACACCATGTATGAAATATTGCAAGATAAAGAACACTATTTACTGTCTAAAGCTGTTCACTATTTCCCAAAATGTCCATATTTTACAGAGCGCTGCAGAATATGTTATCTAAATATATATTAATGTAATTGTAAAGGATGAACAAATAGATGAAAAAGGCATACATTTACATCTTCTAAATGTTTACGTTTGTCTGAAAGGCAATCGGTACACAATTCTTCTTGTTTAGTATATGTTAATGTGATAGCTATGCATTCCTTGTTACATACTATGCTAATACTTTTTTGAGATCAAAAGTGATTGTTAGTGAAGAGTGTAACAGAACTATAATTATGCCTATATTTTTGCCTGAACTTAATCAACAATGCTGCTGGAGGGGTTAAACAGAACTGAATGGCTGGTGTTCGTGTGAATATTGCTACTATAACATACAACCCAAAATACCGAACATCAGACCACCCAGGGGAACAGTTAAGTGCTATTTTACCTCCCAGTGATTGTGGAACCGTTCGCATGGTTCAGACGAATCCCTTTGTGCTCAGGATAGATGGCCGCCATTTCGGAACTTTACACGTGTTCGCGGCCATCTTACGCACAAACGGCGGTGTTTGCCTGTGAACGCATGGAACTAAAAACGGATACGCAAACAGGCGAACACAGCTGAGACCTCCAGGAGCTCGTAAGTTCGTGCTGGAACTACCGAACGACCGGCCGTTCGGTAGTTTTGTTTAAGCAGTCATGGTGATTCAGGCGAACACCAGGATTATTGTGGATTGCAAGGGGTTCGTGGGGTTTTTATGCACGAACGGAGACCGACGGCAAGGCCAAAACTTATGGAACTCTTTTCGGCTGGAAAACCTGTGCGGTCGGTCAAAACTTCAAAGACCCATAACTCCCGAACCCCTTAACCGAATGACTTGAAAATTGGATATATTGTTCCCCTGAGTGAGAGCTATAAAGCAGTGCTGGACTTAAAGGTGTACCCCCTGTACATCCAGAATGTGGTTAAAATTGTGTCTGTTTTAATTGTGTTTCATGTTATCTGAGGGGAGGAGACGTGGGGGTTGAACCATGTATGTAATTGGCTATTGTAGTAATTATGTGGGTGTAGCCTTTCAGAGGGCACCATTGCATAAAAGGAGACCCCCTGTCAATAAACATCAGTTCTACTTGACCCTTCAAAACGTAGCCTTGTCTCGTTCTTGGAGGGGATTTATGGTACCGTTACTCTGCCTCATTTTACAACACTCCTGGATTATACAATTGGATATCGTGGATGGGAATAAGAATTCCATTACTTCACAGCAGCTTGCCTAGAAAAGGACGTCTCCAACGGCCGGTACCCCTCACCAGCTGGGTAGCCGTTACAAAGAGGTTATTAACAGATTTTAAGGCATTCAAATAAACTAAAGCATTTGAACATTGCTCATTAAAATCACAAAGATCTCCTATACCATCTGCTAAATCCTATATTATATTGGTCTTTTTTTTCATCAATTTGGAATCCGATTACCAGAATCTTGATTGGACAAGACCTTAAAGCATAAAAACTGTACAAAGGAGAAAAAAAGAAGGATATGTTCTCGAAATAAATTGATGAAAACAGTATATACCTTTATATCACACGGTCTTGAACAATATTAAAACTTAACTTTTACTAAATCAAAAAAAGATGAAAAAATATCAGGTGACCAATCCATACAATACTCAATAGGGCAAACAAAAAAACCAAGACGTAGACAAAAATATATAGGATGTCTATTAAATGATGTCAAGGTATTCCAGAATTGGCACCATAATGAAATAGTATAGACTGCCTAATCAACAAACAGAAAAAAAACCCAAAACAAAACAGAGAAGTAATATAAAAACATCACAGAAATACACTAGGTGGCGCACTCAACATGCAAATGAAAAGTGTAAGTGCAGAATAAATAAATAAATTAATACCTAATTCGGTATGTTTTCTTTATAAATGGCTGTAAGAAACGAACTTGTTCAATAAAGTGTATGTTTATATCTAATCTTGTGCCTTTCCATTTAAATTGTCAGTATATTTATATCGGCAGACATTTTGTGTTAAGCCAGTCACCCTCAGAACAGAGGTGACTCCATTTTGTATTACAAGGCTAAGATAGACACAAGATTTCTCTTTCTGTAAATCTAGTCACTCAAGTCTGAGCTAAGGAATGCGACTTATGTAAACAAGACAAGAAAACCAGATAGACACTAAATAACACTAAGTAATTAATTTTACTTTCTAAAAAAATTAACAGAACATTACTAGTTCCATTGTAAGAGAAAGGGTGAAATTAAGGTTAGGAGGTGTCAAATCTGATATTCCCACCGAAATTGCAGACACTAGGAAAACGCTTTGAAATTGTAGCCATAAAGATAACAAAAATGACATAAAAAGCATCACAAATTTCAGTTAACCCATTATACAAAAAGGTAAATGGACCCCCTGGTGATGTAATTGTGCAACCTACTGACCAAAATCTAGATGATAGTCTGTAGGGAAGACACACCCACAGTTCCCTATTTGTCCTACCAACTAGTGATGTACAGAGAGTTTTCCCCTTTAAAAAGTAAGGACAAAGGGAAGAGACAGATTCTGACTCTCAGATACTCTCAAACTCTTGGGGGTCTTACATATTCTGGCTCTTGGACTGGACTCAAAGCTCCCACTTCCAAACTCTTAAACACTCACTTAGGCACACCTAATTCTTTATATTTTCCAACTAACACAACTTCAGAACTCTGAAAACTTTTTTATTTTCCACAATTCTCATCATACTTGAATTTGAAATATCTGGGACACATCTACACATTTGATAGAAAATCTACAACCCAACTGGTAATTATGCTGGTGCTATTTAATTAAATTAAATTAATTTGTTTTACTAATAGCAGGAATATATCAGATTTCAATTATTAGAAATCATAATTAACTAAGGAATATATGTGTGGAGTTAAATCTTCTAGTGAAACTTACTCTAGGATCTAAGAGAATTAAAATTGTGGGTAATTCTCAGCTTTATATCATTAATTGGGGAACAGTGCCAAGATATCAATTTTTGATATAATAAAAATTATTATATTAATTTTTGATAATTTATGTGAAAATATTATTTTTAATATTTATACCCCCATAAATATCCTCACAACATATGTTGGGGGAGAGGCTATTGGCTGGAGTGAATACTGGAAAACCATCACCATTTCAATAAACACTTTTACTTGAGCCAGTTTGTTTACAGGCTCTAAAAAATGTGAGTGGAATGTAAATATTTAACTTTATGCATTTGTATAGAAGATATTAGTTGTTCCTTTACTATATTGCTCTATGTAAAGTTAATTTCTTACAGCCATTTATAAAGAAAACATACCGAATTAGCTATTAATTTATTTATTCTGCACTTGCACTTTTCGTTTGCATGTTGAGTGCGCTACCCAGTGTATTTCTGTGGTATTATTCTAGATTTGGGGAATTGGGTGATTTATTCCCACTTTGGGTTTAAGCGGCACTTTCTTGGCACCAATTTATTACACATTCTTTGATTTTTCTCTAATATAAAAACATGTAGAGGTAACATAGCCTCTATATATCAAATGCTCATTCAGTACAACAGATACAATTAAGTAACAGGTGGAAAGTCGTTGGCATTAATGTAAGAGTGATAGAGTTGCTGTTTATCCTGCAACAATGTATCAAAAAGGATAAGAGGTGTCCGTGTTCTCACATTAGTATCCAGGGAGGAGAGCCAGGAAATATTATGACTCCATAAAGTCCTATGCAAAGTATGACCCTATAGTGCCTTCGAGGGCACCCCTTAATAAAAGTACTATCCCTATTAAGCTGCTATGTCTACACACACCTCCCGAAAGAAATTGCAATCAATGGAGTTTATTCCTAAGGTGCGCTTACTGGTGTACAGTGTGTAATACAAGGATCACAGCTTGCCAACTTGATAGATAATTGGTGACATGTACCGGTCGACATGTGAAAGGATGTAGTTCAATATGAGCAGTTTTGCACCTGACGCTCATGTTGCCTTTCAGCTCAGGTGAAACGCATGTCAGGGGCAACACTGCTCATATTGAACTACATCCTTGATTTAGTAAAAGTTATGTTTTAATATTGTTCAGGGCCATGCCATATAAAGGTTTATACAGTTTTCACCAAGTTATTTCAATAACATATTTTGATCCTCCTATCCTTCTTTTTTCTCCTTTGTACATTCACATGAAGGTTTTTTTTTATATATTGCCTCATCCCTTCTCTCTCCTTTCCCCTCCCTCTTTTTCATTTTGGTATATTAATAAAAACTGTACAGGTGCATTCCAGCATATCAGTGTACCATCACACAATCTTTTCCAGGTAAAGGGGTGCTACTGACATGTGCATGTGTGTTAAAATTGTGGAATCACCTATTCAGACACTTGAAGAATACAGAGTGTGGTTGATCCTGGATGAAAATTCTAGATTGTCATTCCAAACTCAGGACTGTTGGTTAGTATGACAGAGTTAATGGTAAGGGGGTATTGGTGTAAGTCTAGAAGTTATTTCATTTAATTTATTTTGTAAAATTTGTTTAATCTGATTTTAGTAAAAAAAAACAAAAAAAAAAAACATATCTTACAGATGGATTTTAAACCCACCACACACACCAATAGCATAAAATATATTTTAAGAAAAACACATAATTTAAAGTGGCACAGTCCCTGTTATTTCTCTATAAGGAAATCAATTAATTAAGAAAACAAATATAGCACTATTACTTTTAAACAACCAAGCTAAATTAAGCAGACATTTGGGAGTGTTTTACTGTGGAGGCATTCATCCTGGATTTGCAACACAGTTTTTAAATATTCAGTGATTTATGGATTTTCCAAGGTTGTAGCCAATCAGAGTCTGTGTATAAACAAGCTTTCAGCTTCTCTCTGTGTAAAAAAATAATCTTTGGACTCTTTCTGTTCAAACTTTGTTTATTAAAAAACAAAACTGGTGAACAGATTTACAAATGATCAAGACAAGATATAAATGCTATATGATAATACATCTAAAAAAAAATTGCTTAATTTCACCACCAGTCACTGCTTAGATTGGTTTACCGCAACATACCTCAAAATCATTCTGTAAAATAGAAAATTAGACATTTTATTATTGAAATCTAATACGGTTTTAATTTCTCTGTCTTATCTAACGGGGAATGAATGAGAGCTGATACGGAACTGGGTAATTTGTGAATCCATTCATTTTAGGGCTGATGTCAGACTCAGTGAATTGTGTTTTTGAGGACAGTTTGAAGTTCTGCAAGATGGTGGTCAGGAAGAGGAAGAGCTCCATCCGTGCTAAACCCTCCCCCAGGCAGATCCGCTTCCCTGGAGAAAGAAAATAATACAATAATGGGCATTTAATAATCTGAACACAGAAGAAAAAATGTCTGTCTGTTTCTGTTCTGTCTGTCTGTCTATCTTCCAATGAACCATTTTTAATTTTAGCTATTTTTTATTTAGCGATGTTTCATTTAACCCTGTCAGTGCTACTCATTGACTAGAGCAATGCACTGTGGTTCTAAAATTACAAAAACAATAACAATAATCAAATTAGAAAAAAACCACCCAAAAAAAAAATATTTTTAAAACTTGTGGTCCCATAGAAGAAGTAGATAAAATACCAGCAATGTTTCCCTCCCCCTCCTCCCTCCCACTCTCATTTGGAATATAGAGGGCAATGTGGTCATTAGAATTCCTTATAAAATCTTATTAAGTCAGGTTTTATGACTATATAAAGTTTGAACCCTCAAGAATTTGAATACATTTTTACATTTTCCCAATTCCTTTTTTTTTGCAATTGGTTTATATTTTGTTTTCATTAGAGTTGCTTTAGGTTACAATATTCTTTTTGTATAGTAAAAGAAAATAGAAGATCTTTAAGCCAGACTTTGATAGATAAGTATGACATATATTCTAGCTACAGTGTTCTTGTTTTATATTGCGCCACCCTCCCCCCCCCCCATTCCTCCCTAATCTTTATTACTGGTGAGGTGAGCGAAGTGAGTAATTTAAATGTTGGGGGTTTTGGTGGAATAGTACCTCGAAACTCATAGGAATTAAGTGTATTGAGTATCTGTGTGTCCTCTTTTTGGTAAGGGGGGGTAAACTGAGTTTCCTTCAGTATCATTAACAGAAGGATGGGGATTTCTCTCTGGCCTCATGAGGACTGGTATTGTGCATCGCCTAGTTGTCTTATTATGGAGTTTGGACCAATGGATTGAGGAAGGGATAGGCACCATTCCCTAGTATTCTTAAAGGACCACTCTAGGCACCCAGACCACTTCAGCTTAATGAAGTGGTCTGGGTGCCAGGTCCCTCTAGGATTAACCCCTTTTTTATATAAACATAGCAGTTTCAGGGAAACTGCTATGTTTATAAATGGGTTAATCTAGCCTCCAAATCCTCTAGTGGCTGTCTCATTGACAGCCACTAGAGGCGTTTGCGTGCTTCTCACTGTGAAAATCACAGTGAGAAGACGCAAGCGTCCATAGGAAAGCATTGGAAATGCTTTCCTATGAGACTGGCTGAATGCGCGCACAGCTCATGCCGCGCATGCGCATTCAGCCAAAGAGGAGGATCGGAGGCGGAGAGGAGGAAGAGAGATCCCCACCCAGCGCTGGAAAAAAAAAAAGGCAAATTTTAACCCTTTCCTCTCCCCAGAGCCAGACAGGAGGGGTTCCCTGAGGGTGGGGGCACCCTCAGGGCACTGTAGTGGCAGAAAAACGAGTATGTTTTCCTGGCACTATAGTGGTCCTTTAAACTAATATTAAGGTCGTGAAAATCAAAGCATTATTTTTAAAATCTTGCTTGTTATTCTATCACACAATTGACAATATAATTTATCTTTCTGGTGTATATGTTTTTTTCTTTAGAAAGTGCACAAAATGTTGACAATAATATTTGCTTTCAAATCAATTTTTCATATTACAATTCTCTGAGTTTAATACTCTAGTTTGTAGTGAAGAGCTTAGCATATCGTGTGTATTCAAAGTCTTGTTTAATCTTGTTATTTAATTATTCTATGTACATATTGACATTATGTTTTGTGTTATTGCTGGTGTAACCTTTTGGAAGGATATGGAGTTGATAATAAAAGTTAAAGTCTTATGTTTTTATGTTCTTATAATGTAAGTATTATTATTTTATACTATTTATTTTATTATTATGTAGTTACATTATTTGGCCGTTACCTGTAGAGAATGGCATGGAAGCCTCGTTGTTCTTGAAGTGCCCATGTTCATCCAGAAAGTGGTTCGGGTTGAACTTGTTGGGAGTGGCGAACTGTTTGGGGTCTCGAAGAACGGTACAAAGTAATGGGTAAACGTCAGTGCCCTGTTGGGGTGGGATGGATGATAAGAGAGGAGAAAAATAATAAATACTGTGAACAGGGACATGCTGTGGGAAAAATATAATCATATAAGATGAATAAAATACTAAGTCAGCCTTGAGGATATTATTGGCAGGTGCCCAGACTGATCTTTAAATATAAACTTTCACCTATGTGTATTTAGAATTTTGAGCAGACATATACATAGTTACTCGTTGCATTAATATCCAGGAGGTGGGAATAAGTTAATGCACAGTCAAATTTTTGTGGACAATTGTTAGAGTTGGTGCAACCATCATTTGCCCTCATTTGTTTTGAGTTTTCTTCTCATTAGTTCTATCAGTGCTGTTATATTCACACAAATACAAAACAAAAATGTTCTTGCGTGTGCGAATTGACTTTACGCAGAATTCTAAGTGCATCTCCTCAGATGCTGCTGTTTGACTTTGATTTATAATTTGCAAATACCAACACAAATAGTTGAAATATTAAAATATTTTAAGGGTGGGATGGCATGATGAAATTTGTTCAATTCACAAATAATTTTATGTAAACACAGTGTTTGCCAAGGGGGTAGCTAATATACCAACGAACATGCCTGGAATGTGTGTGCAGTTACAATGTCTTACTTGGCTGGATTCAGAGATGGGTAAATACCTTCACTATATAAGTACAGACGTTTACTACAGTTTAAATCTCAAAATGTCAAGTCCTGCACTACAGACAGATCCAAAAGTTTACTTGCTACTCTTACTCTGTAGGTCTAATGCACATTAATGCAGGGGTAAAATACTACTCTCTAGGACTTAATAATATTCATTCCCCAATGGTTAGAGGATGAGTGGAAATTTTGAGTAGGTAGTATAATGTGTAAATACAATTATCTTTGATGAAAGTAATAATCTGACATTCTATAGACGGTCGAGTGTTTTTCTCTCCATACCTTGGGTATATCGTATCCTCTGAACTTAGTATCTTGTGTGACCGAGTGAGGAACATTCATCGGGAAAACATCACTAAATCTCTGGATTTCATGGATCACAGCATCGGTATACGGCATTTGGCTCCGATCCTCAATGGTTGGGCTGCGGTTCTGTCCAATCACATGGTCTATTTCTTCATGCAACTTGGCTGTAAAGCAACAAGTAAAGGTTGTTTTATTTCCAAACCTGTGAGTGACTCAGTCAGTGAGTATACTCTACTGTCGAATGATAACACTAGTTGGTAATTCTCATTTGAGGTTTTTTTCACTGAAACGTCTTAGATGTATTAATGTCCTTGAATTAAATCTCCCAGTGAAGGCTCATTTTGGTTTGCACCTTCTATCTCGGGATATTTTAGAAGTATGAGGAACCCGTGCCGTAGAGTGGTGCTCACAGTTTCAGTCCCACCAAAGAAAAGGTTCAGAACAGTCATCAGCAGGTTTTTCATGTGGAAGTCTGTCATTGGATTTTGTTTTTCCTAAAATAACAGATTTGAGATAATAAATAAATTAGAGAATAGAATATATACAGGGTTATTTAATAAAGTGAGAATTGAATAGTTGATTTACACAATTGTTGTTCCAGTTTTTTTTACTATTGTAAATTCATTTGGAATTGTCACCTTAGTGGGTGACCTTGTTAGGTTTTTTAACCCTCCACTATCTCTAATTGACCCCTTAGTCACCCCCAAATGCCCCATATTACCTATTTATTATTCTTTATTTTCTGCCCCGATCTTTATTCAGGGTGCCGCCATCTTTGTGTGGGTCGAGGAAGGTGTGGGACACGTCATCTGCCCACAATAGATAGACTTTGAAATTCCCGCACATGCCCAGTTAAACACATGGACATGCGAACGGGAATTTCATCTATTCATTCATTCATCAGAAAGACGAATGAATGAATAGAAATGTCAGATGAACAAACAAACACTGAATATCATTTGAATATCAATAACATTTGTTCGTGCAGTTTATTACAAGGAGGGAGCTACCGGCACACAGCTCCCTCTTTGTAATATGTAAAGATAGAAGTGGCAGGGAGCAGTGCTCCCCGCCACTTCATAATGACCCCAGGTCCCCCCCTCACGATATGGGGGTCAATATGACCCCTATAATAGCATAAAGGAGAATAAAATCTCCCCAATGCCCCTACTCGCTATACCGCTGAGCGGTGGGTGGGGGCCACAAATTACAATGGGGGGGATGGGGACCTACTGTCCTCCCCCCCAGCCCCACCCCTGAGCGGCGGGTGGGGGCCATGATGATAATGAGGAGGAGGACCTACTGTCCTCCCCCCAGGCCCTACCCCTGCATGGCGGGTGGAGGCCATAATGATAATGAGGGGGGGACCTACTGTCCTCCCCCCGCCCCCACCCCTGGTCGGCAGGTGGGGGCCATGATGATAATGAGGAGGAGTACCTACTGTCCTCCCACACCGGCCGCCACCTCTGGGCGGTGGGTGGGGGCTAAATGATTATGGGGGGAGACCTACTGTCCTCCCCCCCAGCCCCCACCCCTGGGCGGCGGGTGGGGGCCATAAAGATAATGAGGGGGGACCTACTGTCCTCCCCCCCAAGCCCCCACCCCTGGGCGGCGGGTGGGGGTCCTAAGTCAAATTCCCCTCCCATTAAAGGTGACTAGGGGTCCCCAAGCCCCTAGTCACCCACCCACCCCCCCACCCAAATAAAAAATCCCCTTCCTACCCCCCTCACCCTAAAAAATAGTGAGGGGGGAATAAAATTACTAACCTGTAAAGTAAAATTAAACTTACCATTCGACATCTTCTTTTTTCTAAAATCTTAATTTTTCAGCCCCCAAAAAGGCCAAATAAAAAACCATCATACCCGTCGAACTTAAAATAAAATAAAAAACCCGAGCGCAAAAAAAAACAGACGAAAGAGAAAAAACTCGAGCGCAAAAAAAATAATCCATCTCCACCCATGGAGGGCTCCACGCAGACTGAGCTCCGCATGGTTTAAGCCAATCAGAGTGCTCTTTGTCATTTTACACAGCGTGGGAAAGTTCTTTGGAATCTTCTCACGCTGTGTAAAATGACACAGAGCACTTTGATTGGATGACTTAAAATCCATCCAATCACAGTGCTCTGTGTCATTTTACACAGCGTGGGAAAGTTCTTTGGAATTTTCCCATGCTGTGTAAAATGACAAAGAGCACTCTGATTGGCTTAAACCCACCAATCAGAGTGTTCTTAGCCTAATTACAGGGCGGGGCAAGGCTTTATAAGCCTTCCCCTGCACTGCGGAGCTCAGTCTGCGTGGAGCCCTCCATGGGTGAAGATGGATTATTTTTTTGCGCTCAGGTTTTTTCTTTTTAACTGTTTTTTTTTTTTTTGCGCTCCGGTTTTTATTTTATTTTAAGTTCGACGGATATGATGGTTTTTTATTTGGCCTTTTTGGGGTCTGAAAAATGAAGATTTTAGAAAAAAGAAGACGTCGAATGGTAAGTTTAATTTTACTTTACAGGTTAGTAATTGTATTCCCCCTCACAATTTTTTAGGGTGAGGGGGGTAGGTAGGTGACTTTTTATTTGGGTTGGGTGGTGGGTGACTAGGGGCTTGGGGACCCCTAGTCACCTTTGATGGGGGGGTGGAATTTGACTTAGTGCCCCCACCCGCCGCCCAGGGGTGGGTGGCCGGGGGGGGGGAGGACAGTAGGTCCCCCCTCATTATCTTTATAGCCCCCACCCACCACCCAGGGGTGGGGGCAGGGGGAGGACAGTAGGTACCCCCCATTATCATTTGACCCACACCCACCGCCCAGGGGTGGGGAGGACAGTAGTTCCCCCATTATAATTATGGCCCACACCTGCCGCCCAGGGGGGAGAACAGTAGGTCCCCCCATTATCATTTGCACCCCACCAGCCGTCCAGGGGAGGTCTCGGGGGGGAGGACAGTAGGTCCCCCCCCACATTATCATTATGGTACCCACCCACCGGCCAGGGGTGGGGGCTGGAGGGGGGAGGACAGTAGGTTCTCCCCCCTCATTATCATTAAGGCCCCCATCTGCCGCACAGGTGTGGGGGCCAGGGGGTTAGTAATTTTATTCCCCCCTCACTATTTTTTTAGGGTGAGGGGGGTAGGAAGGGGATTTTTTATTTGGGTGGGTGGTGGGTGAATAGGTGCTTGGGGACTTCTAGTCACCTTTAATGGGGGGGGAATTTGACTTAGGGTACCCTCCCGCCGCCCAAGAGTGGGGGCCGGGGGGGAGGACAGTAGGTCTTCGCCCTTATTTTACTTTAGGGCTGATAGGTTTTTTTTTTTTTTACAGTGAGCAGCCTGTGGCGGTATAGCGAGTAGGGGCAGCATTTACTAATACTAAGTAATTTTTACGTAGTATTAGTAAACGTGGCTGAAAGACCAATTTAGGTCTTTCAGCCTTTTAGTAGATAATTTCCTGATACTGTGGGAATTAGGGAGTTATCTACTAAGTGGCTGCAAGATGCAGCCACAGCACGAATAGGATAGGAGTTTCATTCATTCGAATGAAATTCCGACACGAATAAAGTGCCGAAATGAGTTCTAAAAGAAACGAACATACTGTTCTCATTCAGTTAGAACGCAATTCGACAGTTTAGTCTAAAATGACAGGAAGCATCGCGGGAACACAGAGGAAAGGTAAGGATCATGGGAAAATTGCTCTGACCAGCGGAAATGAAGAACACTTTGCTCCTCCGTTTGGTCAGAGATGGTCAAGCGGAGGAGACCTCCTTAAGGCAAAGAGTCACTACTTTGTCTTATGATTTTAAACTAAAGAAGACAGGAAGAAAAGAAGAACAGATCCTGAGAGAGGGGAAGAATTGGAAGAGATTGAGGAAAGGTAAGTTCGGAATGACAGTGCTGCTTTAATAATGAGAGATAAATCTGTGTTTCTCTAATTTTAAAATCTTCTCGGGGAACATCAGCGATGCATTACAGATTTCAAAACGGACAGATTTTTTTACAGAATCTCAAACGCAAGAAAAAGATTACATTTTTGTCCCCAATTCTTCCAGTGAAGTCCTTTGCCTCAGTAACAAAGCCTCAAACTGTGTAGTGGTTAGACAGGCAGCTGACACTTTAAGGCTATCACTAGCTTCCCATTAAGAAAACTGCGAGAGAAAAGTACCACCTTTTATTATTCTTAGCATTTATATAGCGCCAACAAACTCTGTAGCACTTTACAATTAGAGAAAAGGTATATTTGATAAAAAGTAACTGAAAATCGAAGAGATGATGTTTTAATGCAGTTTACTCAATAAGAGGTTAGTGCTAAGAGTGTCAGCTAATGTTCTCATCCTCTCAGACAGCCCCTGGCTTCCTCTTAGAAACTGGAAACTTGGTTGGAAGGAAAAAGCCAGAGTGGCCAGGATTTTCTATCATAACAACTTAATCTTTGTACTGCTACTCAGGTAGTGTGGGTTATAGGAGGTGTGGGGAGCTGCAGGGAGCATGTTGCTCAGGTAGTGTGTGTTATAGGAGGTGTGGAGAACTGCAGTGAGCGTGCTGCTCAGGTAGTGTGGGTTATAGAAGGTGTGGGGAAGCGTGGGGAGCTTCAGTGAGTGTGCTGCTCAGGTAGTGTGTGTTAAAGGAGGTGTGGGGAGCTGCAGTGAGCGTGCTGTTCAGGTAGTGTGTGTTATAGGAGGTGTGGAGAACTGCAGTGAGCGTGCTGCTCAGGTAGTGTGGGTTATAGAAGGTGTGGGGAAGCGTGGGGAGCTGCAGTGAGTGTGCTGCTCAGGTAGTGTGGGTCATAGGAGGTGTGGGGAGCTGCAGGGAGCGTGATGCTCAGGTAGTGTGGATTATTGGAGTTGTGGGGAGCTGCATTGAGAGTGCTGCTCAGGTAGTGTGTTATTTAGGAGGTGTGAGGAGCTGCGGTGAGCATGTTGCTCAGGTAGTGTGTGTTATAGGAGGTGTGGGGAGCTGCAGTGAGTGTGTTGCTCAGGTAGTGTGGGTTATATGAGGTGTGGGAAGCTGCAGGGAGCGTGCTGCTCAGGTAGTGTGGGGAGATGCAGTGAGTGTGTTGCTCAGGTAGTGTGGGTTATATGAGGTGTGGGGAGCTGCAGTGAGTGTGCTGCTCAGGTAGTGTGGGCTATAGGAGTTGTGGGATGCTGCAGTAAGCGTGTTGCTCAGGTAGTGTGTGTTATGGGAGGTGTGGGGAACTGCAGTGAGCATGTTGCTTAGGTAGTGTGAGTTATAGGAGGTGTGGGGAGCTGCAGTGAGCATGCTACTCAGGTAGTGTGAGTTATAGGAGGTGTGTGGAGCTGCAGTGAGTGTGCTGCTCAGGTAGAGTGTGTTATAGGAGGTGTGGAAAGCTGCAGTGAGTATGCTGCTCAGGTAGTGTGGATTATTGGAGTTGTGGGGAGCTGCATTGAGAGTGCTGCTCAGGTAGTGTGTGTTTTAGGAGGTGTGAGGAGCTGTGGTGAGCATGGTGCTCAGGTAGTGTGTGTTATAGGAGGTGTGGGGAGCTGCAGTGAGTGTGCTGCCCAGGTAGTGTGTGTTATAGGAGGTATGGGGAGTTGCAGTGAGCATGCTGCTCAGGTAGTGTGTGTTATAGGAGGTGTGGAGAGCTGCAGTGAGCGTGCTGCTCAGGTAGTGTGGGTTATAGAAGATGTGGGGAAGTGTGGGGAGCTGCAGTGAGTGTGCTGCTCAGGTAGTGTGGTTTATAGGAGGTGTGGGGAGCTGCAGGGAACGTGCTGCTCAGGTAGTGTGGGGAGATGCAGTGAGTGTGTTGCTCAGGTAGTGTGGGTTATATGAGGTGTGGGGATCTGCAGTGAGTGTGCTGCTCAGGTAGTGTGGGCTATAGGAGGTGTGGGATGCTGCAGTAAGCGTGCTGCTCAGATAGTGTGTGTTATGGGAGGTGTGGGGAACTGCAGTGAGCATGTTGCTTAGGTAGTGTGAGTTATAGGAGGTGTGGGGAGCTGCAGTGAGCGTGCTACTCAGGTAGTGTGAGTTATAGGAGGTGTGGGGAGCTGCAGTGAGTGTGCTGCTCAGGTAGAGTGTGGGTGATAGGAGGTGTGGGGAGCTGCAGTGAGCATGCTATTCAGGTAGTGTGGGTTATAGGAGGTGTGGGGTGCTGCAGTGAGCGTGCTGCTCAGGTAGTGTGTGTTATAGGAGGTGTGGGGAGCTGCAGTGAGCATGCTATTCAGGTAGTGTGTGTTATAGGAGGTGTGGGGAGCTGCAGTGACTGTGCTGATCAGGTAGTGTGTGTCATAGGAGGTGTGGGGAGCTGCAGTGACTGTGCTGCTCAGGTAGTGTGGGTTATCGGAGGTGTGGGGAGCTGCAGTGAGCGTGCTGCTCAGGTAGTGTGGGTTACAGGAGGTGTGGGGAGCTGCAGTGAGTGTGCTGCTCAGGTAGTGTGGGTTACAGGAGGTGTGGGGAGCTGCAGTGAGCATGCTGCTCAGGTAGTGTGGGTTTATAGGAGTTGTGGGGAGCTGCAGTGAGCATGCTGCTCAGGTAGTGTGGGTTACAGGAGGTGTGGGGAGTTGCAGTGAATGTGCTGCTCAGGTAGTGTGGGTTATCGGAGGTGTGGGGAGCTGCAGTGAGTGTGCTGCTCAGGTAGTGCGGGTTATAGGAGGTGTGGGGAGCTGCAGTGAGTGTGCTGCTCAGGTAGTGTGGGTTATAGGAGGTGTGGGGAGCTGCAGTGAGCGTGCTGCTCAGGTAGTGTGGGTTATAGGAGGTGTAGGGAGCTGCAGTGAGCGTGCTGCTCAGGTAGTGTGGGTTATAGGAGGTGTGGGGAGCTGCAGTGAGTGTGCTGCTCAGGTAGTGTGGGTTATAGGAAGTGTGGGGAGCTGCTGTGAGCGTGCTGCTCAGGTAGTGTGTGTTATAGGAGGTGTGGGGAGCTGCAGTGAGCGTGCTGCTCAGGTAGTGTGGGTTAGAGGAGGTGTGGAGATCTGCAGTGAGCGTGCTGCTCAGGTAGTGTGGGTTATAGGAGGTGTAGGGAGCTGCAGTGGGGGTGGTAATTTTTTAGAGCAGTATCAATAAAAGCTTTGTTAGCAGGTGACAATGTTTAAATTAAACAGTTTTTCTTTGCGATTTAGTAGTAATATGTATTTAATTGTGGGTGAACTTACAAGAGATATAATTTTAACTAATTGTTATCCCCACCTTGGGGCTCAGTAAAGCTATTGAGCAGAGTCAGTACCTGCTGCATTTTGATCAGGAAACAGTCTATGTAGTCTCTGGGTGAGTCGGAATCCAGAGTTTCTTCATTATTTTTCACTCTTTTTGAAACAAACTCAAGAAGCTTGTTGAGGTGTTTGTTTATCCTGTGATGAGGGCCTGGAATGTACTTCATGACCATGGGAAGCATCTCATATAACTGTAGATCAGTAAATACAAAGATATTAAGTGTTACGACGTTCCTTCCTGTGTGAATGCATCTAAACTGCAGTAATTATTTTAGTGCTAAGAGACAGACACGGTGCAGATTAGAATATTATCTTATCCTCTACCTGTCCCCACTTGCTGCTCATGTCGTTGAAGGTAGCAGCAAACAGGCTGAGGAGTGTCTGCAATTTTTTGTTATTATATTCAAAGCGACTTCCAAACACAATGGAGGAGATTACGTTGGAAACACACTGTACGAGGATGGTGGTCGGGTCAAAGGACTTCCCTGTAGATCCAAAAAGTAAATGATAGATCAGGGTGTAGAATAACACATTAGAAACCAGTTAAAGGAGATATGAAAAAATGAAATGTATTGTTTTTCATCTCAGTATAACACACACAGATACACGCACACTCTTTTCTATCCCTGCATACCTACCTTTGTATGACCTGAGTTCAGCCACAAGACACTGAGCCTCCTCCAGAATCCTCTCTTCAATGGATCGTTTACCCATCCCGAAATTTCTCAGAGTCGTGAGGGAAAAGCGTCGTAGCTGCTTCCATCTTTCACCATTACTGAAAAGAACCCCTGTAAGACACAGTCATCCACCGTATGAGGGTGTTGGTGCCACAATGTCAACAGCTGTTACACCCTCAAACTACATGGCTGTGAGCTATGAGAGTTAGAGCCATTACACGTATGGCGCTAAACAGTCATGCGTCTCAGAATCTATATATGTGCAGTGGTAAATGGTTATATATCTTATAACTTTGATATGAATGATGATCAATGGTCTTCCACTCCCTTTGTTAATTTTATAATACATGTTTTGTACTAATGCCACAAGAATTAGTATACAATAATATTAAAATAATGTAGTTACATGTATTAGTTTAGTATTGTGCTGTTACCCCACATTCCACTCTATCCTAGTGGCAAGGGGAGCAATTTTCCCAGACACATGTCTTAGAACATTGACATATATAATGGTAAATGTTTGTATGTCTTAGATCAATAATACGCATCATGGTAAGGTTTAATCTATGTCAAAGTACAACAAAAACATGTGAATTCATAGAATTGTTTAAGGCTACTTAGGTCCAAAAACACAAAGGAAGCTAAAATGATAATTGAAGAACGAAGTGAAAATAAAATATCATATTGTGAATATGGAATCAGATGGAAATAAAATGGTACCATGAGTCCAGACACAATAATGGCACAACAATGTCAAAACTGATAATTATTACTCAGTAAACTTGATCTCAGGTATGGCTGGATTACCTATACCAGGAACACTGCCCTGTCTTAGAAATGGAAACGTCTGATACCTGGATTACAGTGCGAAGAACTCAAAAACATAAATAGCAGCTAACATTACCGTGATAATAACCCAGCAAATAACGTATATCGGTCTATACAAGAATATAGATAATAGTTCAATTATACGCTCAATGTCTACCTGAATAGGTGGGAAATTAAAACCCTTTCTAAACACACCTGGATCAGGTAAAGGAAATGATAATGTATGAAGACCATACATATACTGTATGATTGGGATAACGGTCCAACAATCCTTGCCTTGAGTGTGTTAGTACTTTGACAATGATATGCCTTAATAAGAGGCAAGTGGAACATGTATGTAAGAAGTACGTGGAAGCAAGACTTGCACTGTCTATGGGAGAGAGTAATGGATGGATTCATTGTTGGATAAATTGATGGATGGCCACTGTATTAAGTTAATTAAATTGAAACCAATCAGGGTAAAAACTTACCAAATCCTTGGAAAAAGCTATCTATGTTTGATTGATTTCCTCGATTACTAAACTCATCTGCTTGGTCAATTAGTGCTTCTTTAACTGCCTGGTACCCACATAGCACCACTACACGCCTTGGACCAAAGTAAATGGTGTAAACCGGACCATATTTTTTTCCAAACTGAAGCAATAAAAGAAAAAGACAGAAACGTATAGGATAAAATTAAAAAAGAAATAAATAATAAAACGCTCGATTCATATTATTAACAAGAAAAGTACACGAATAGTAGAGAAACAAGTATGTTGAAACCTCCCTGGTCATTTGTAGATATTACACAACAGAATAAAACCATGAAAATGGCCCATGACTTGTATTATTGTTTTTGGCAAAAAACAATTTTTGGAATGTACCAGATATTTAGCAATTGATGTCACAATCCGGGTGAGTCCTGGCACAGCCTGGCACACAGTTCATTAGAGGAAGAGAGACTGTAACATTGTCTTGGCTTTTGTCTCTCTGTACTGATTGCCAACTGCAAAGGTCAGAGTTTATCACAGAACCTGATAGATATGGAATCACGTTATTCCAGGGTAGAGCTAAGGTTACCAGTGTGGATGATACAATTAATTTTATTTTCTGATATTACAAACACATATTTGTTAAATATAGGGATAAGTAAACATATTAGTAAAAATCTCGAGAAATGAAATAAAAACATGTTGTATCACTAATCAATGTGTCACAGTCACAACAAGAGACGCACAATGTATTTAATTATATTTTCTAAAAGAAATAGTGAGCTTCTGGTACGCATATTATACATGGAACGCTGTCTGCATTTACATGGATGCAAGACGTGTCAAAGAGAAAACCACCAACCTTGCATGTTGAAGATGACTAGGTGACTAACCTTATAATAAAACATGAAAATACATCTACAGGAAGCACGTAAAGCAATGGAATGCCCATGAGAAATTCATCCTAGTTCGAGACGGGTGAGGTGGTCAGTTAAGTCACTGTTGTGGCTAGCCACTGCCACATACATCAAGTTTGGGAGAGAGATGTGAAACGCGTACCTTTTAAAAATGTTTTTAAAAAAATAGTTTTCTGTCCCCCTACTCTCCCCTGTATTTCATGCATTCTGAATGTAGGAGGCTTACAGATACATTTCTCCATTTTCATCTGTTATGTGGTTGCAACACTGTACTGTATGCTTATTTTGAAGTTATGCATTAGCCCTTGGATTTAAAAAATCCAGTGGAGATAGAAAACAAAAACATACCAATGGGAAAAAAAATCTATGACATGATATCATTCAGTCATGATATCTTTCCTGATTTATACAAAACCATCAGTTCTTATCAATGAATTAAATATAAAAAAAAAAACATCTATAACTTGTGCTAAAAAATTTTCGATGCTCATTTTTTGATACCGTATTTGCTTGAGTATACGTCGACCCGAATATAAGTCGAGGCCCCTAATTTTACCCCCAAAAACTGGGAAAACGTATTGACTCGAGTATAAGACTAGGGTGGGAAATGCAGAAGCTACTGGTAAATTTCTAAATTCAATTAGATCCCCCAAAATTATATTAACTGAATATTTATTTACAGTGTGTGTATATAATGAATGCAGTGTGTGTGTGTGTGTGTGTGTGTGTAATGCAGTGTGTTTGTATGAATGCAGTGTGTGTATGAATACAGTGTGTGTGTGTGTGTATGAATGCAGTGTGTGTGTATGAGTGCAGTGTGTGTGTATGAATGCAGTGTATGTGTGTATGAGTGCAGTGTGTGTGTGTATGAATGCAGTGTGTGTGTATGAATGCAGTGTGTCTATGAATGCAGTGTGTGTGTATGAATGTAGTGTATGTGTATGAATGCAGTGTGTGTATATAATGCAGTATGTTTGTATGAATGCAGTGTGTGTGTGTATGAGTGCAGTGTGTGTGTATGAATGCAGTGTATGTGTGTATGAGTGCAGTGTGTGTGTATGAATGCAGTGTGTGTGTGTATGAGTGCAGTGTGTGTGTATGAATGCAGTGTGTGTGCACTGTAAGTCTCGCGGTGTGAGTGCCGCGCGGAGCGTTGCCCGGTAACCCCTTCGGCTCTCGCGAGACTTGCAGTGGGAGCTGACAGGGGAGCTGACTGGACCGGAGGAGAGAGAAGTGAGCTGACAGGAGCTGCAGGAAAGGTAAGTAACAGCTCTCTGCCAGCCCCCAACAAGCCCGGCGGTTCTGGTCTGTATTATGGCAATGTAAGTTGCCATAATACAGACAGTGACTTGAGGATAAGATGAGTGGGGTTTTTCAGCACAAAAAATGTGCCGAAAAACTCGTCTAATACTCGAGTATAAACAGTACTTATTTTTTGTTTAAATGTACATGAAAGATTTACCCAAAAATCCATCCAATTTAGTCAAGTTCAATGTAGGCACAGCCAGGGCACATTGTGCATTGTTTCTGTCAATCTGTGCTCTCGCTATGCTGACTGACAGGTGCTGCATACAAATCCGACAGTGATTGACAGACCTCACAAACACATACTTTTTAATGTAGGGAAAAAAAAAAATATAATCTAAAAATGTTGGTTCCCCATTAATAACTGTGTAAGTATTCTCAAGATAAACACAAATACTATTAAAATGATAGCATTAGGGATCTGCATATTAAGTCCTTCAACATGAACAACTCGTTAATACGAAATCACATTCCATTTAAGAACAGGTTACTGGTAAATAATTATTTGAATTTATTGGTTTTCTATATGTAGTTTTTTGTTTTGTTAAGATTCTATACATTTGAACACTAACCTCTAACAATGATTTCACCATCTCTCCCCTCTTGATTTGAAGAATATTTCCCAGCAGAGGTAGCGGTGTTGGACCAGGGGGTAAGTTCCTTTTTTGATACATTTTATTCCATGTTGAGTAAATCAGGAGACAGGAGACCAGCAGGGTGAGGAGCAAAGATCCCAGAAATGTAATATCCATGTTCAATGGAAATACCTAAATACGATACCTGATATTTATAACCCTGCTATCGTGCTGCGAGCCAATTATTCTACCATTCCCTATGTTCATTGTGTGTAGGGCGTACCTGGATTTTACAATTTTACCAACAAAGTGACAAATTCAATAGTTGATGTGAAAATGGCCAATACTGCAAAAATTCGGTATTATTATTATTATTATTATTTTATTTCGCATTTATATTGCACCAACATATTATAAAGGGGGGTAAATTTAACAATAAATGAGACAAGTACAAAATGTTACAGGAACATTAGGTTGATGAGGACCCTGCTCGACGAGCTTATAAAATAAAGCCTTCATTTAACAGTAGGCCTATTTTGCTATTAAATTGTGATCTTTACATCACAGGCTCAGAAATGTATGGGGACAAATCCTAAATTCTAAAATACTCTGATTATTAATTTTGAGGTTATTTTGGGTAAAAACACTTGGTAAACCCAACATCAGCACTGAAAGGTCCCCATTCCTCATTTTCTTTGCAACCCTCACAACTCAAATCACAACCTCTTCATCACATAAACCTGGTGATAAACTTGGAGTTATCTTGACAACATGTGTGACTCCTACCTAAAGTTTGTTGGGAAGTTTGAATACAGTGGCAGCTACACTGAACATGTTATCAGGCTTTATTGGTCTAAACTTCTAAACTTTTCTTGTCACTACTTATCTCAAATCACGGAGAGCCTCTTTAGTATCATCAACTCATAACGTCTCCCACTCACAAATCTTATTTGTTATAATGTTGTTCTCCACATGCAAAAGGAACAACTTTCATGCAAGAGATATTTTGCCCTCAAAAAAAATCTTGATAAGGTTCATAAGGTTTTGTTCCTGGTATCTTTTTTGTGTTCACCTCATACTATCCTCCCCGGCATGCCAAAAGACCAAGGATCCTTAATCTCTGAAAGTCAACTTTCATCTCTCTCAAATGTATCCCCTCACATCCCGAAATAAAAGGTGTTACCAGGCTTACCACACTTGTCGCAGTTCTTCTCTTTTTTAATACTTACAGGGACGTCCTATGTTTTTAGCGTGCAAATGGAAACTGACTATCCTCAACTATACTCCAAACTACATATCATATTTACTTAGCTCGTACAACCCATCGAGGTCTGCCAATATCCTTGAATAACCCTTTGCTCACAAAATACCTTGAAATCCTATAATATTACTGCCTTCTCGGCTTATCATGTTTTTCCCCAATATTTGGATATTTACATATGTTGCATGCCCCTTTTATTGTGTAATATAAAAACACTGCAATAATGCTTATCAGAATATCCCATTTTAAACCATATATCTAATTTTTATTTGCATACATGTATCCTTAAAGTGATCTAATATCAATTTAGTTTGTATTTTTGGACTTTATGGAAATGTTTCCATCAACTTGGCCTTTCTTCTATTCAAATCTGACCGCAAGGCCAAAACTTATGGAACTATTTTCGGCTAGTGTGCCTATGCGGTCGGTCAAAACTTTAAAGTCCCATAACTCCCGAACGCTTTCACCGAATGGGATGATTTTTTAATATGTTGTTCCCCTACATGAGGGATATTTGGGGTACATCCAAAACTTGGGTAAAAATGTGTGTGTGTTAATTATGTTAACTGTTTATATGTGATTGGGTATTGTGCTAATTATGTGGGTGTCGCCCTCCCAAGGGCAGAATTGCATAAAAGGAGAATCCCTGTCAATAAAAGTTAGTTCTGCTTGACCCTTCAAAACGTAGCCTCGTCTCGTTCTTGGAAGGAGATTTACTGCACAATTATCTTGCTCTATTTTACAGCTATACCTGGCTTTACTCTTGGATCTCGTGGATGGGAATAAGAAACTCCATTACTACACAGCAGCTTGCCAGGAAAAGGACGTCTCCAACGGCTGATACCCCCTTGGGTAGCTGTTACACAAGGTATGTGTGGCATGTATATGAGGTTTGTAAGGTATGTGTATATGGTGTGTAAAGTATTCATATGGGGTGTGCAAGGTATGTGTATGGGGTGTGCTAGGTATCTGTATTTGGTGTGCAAGGTATATATATGGGGTGTGTAAGATATGTTATAGAGTGTAAAAGCAAAAAATATTAGGCACTCACTATAATTTAATAGGTCTATTTGTGTGGGCTGCAGTACACAATACAAGGATTCCCAAACCTCGTGAATGAACAAATAGTAGAATGAAAATGGCATATACCGCGTCCATCATGGCAATACGTGCGTTCCAATTAGACGTGATAGTAGTCAAAGGATAACACCCAGAAATGGAACTCCACCGCGTCACTTCCGGTGTGATGTGTGCGTTCCAAAAGGGTGAAACAGGAGCCCGAGAAACAGCTCTCCAACATCATCATTACAATATTAATGTTGCGTCACTTCCAGTACGACTCGTGCGTTCCAACGAAACCGGAAATTGGACACACCAGGCAGACAATTCACAATAAAGACTTCCATATATAAACTAAGCATTGTAAGGACTATCTCACACCTTTGAAAAAGCCTTGGACAGGCGAAACGCGTCAAGTGAGATTTCTTCATCCATTATAATACTTTTTACTATTATTATTAATTTTTTTAAATAAAAACTTGCTTTTTATAGCCATTTTCTTTTTATTTTATTTTTCCTTCTTGCTCTCTGGTACCAACATATCCTTAGGTGGGGATTATACCACCCATGCTGTTTTAACTAGAGCAAGTCTTGCTTTAGCAAATGTAAGTACAATACCTTATCTTCTTTGCATATATACAGTACTTACTTCACCATTAGCGTTTTCTTCTTTATATTTGTCTCCACATATACCTCACATGCTGCATTGCATTTGGAGCACCGATATTGCCTACATCACCATTCATCCATGCGCAACACAGCAGAGCTCTTAGATAGCTCAAATGTGAGTGGATCTCATATAGTACTAATATTCTAATCTGTATCATAACATACTGTATTGCACTATTACTGTTTTTTTTATTTAAAGTACCATACCATCTGAAGATTTATGTACGTATAATCTTTGGGCGTGGTATACGCCATTTTCATTCTACTAAATGTTATGGAGTGTGTAAGGTATGTGTATGGGGTGTGCAATGTGTGACGGTAGTCACCATCACTGGGGATGGTAGACAGACACACAGATTCCTTTTGTGTTTGGTAACCCTGTGCCCATTATTGGTGCAGGGTATGTTGAATGTATTGCTTGTCTGTGCCTCTCCCCCTCCCCCTCCCCCTTTTCCTGTCCTATTGTTTCCCCAGCATGGCGTTGTCTCAGGGACACTGCCAGAGCAGTTTAAACTAGCTGCTTTGTCCCTTCTCAATCTCCCATCAGCCCTTGCTATTGTCTGACCCAACCCTTTCTTGTACTATAGTGCTTTATGCACTATTGTATGTAAATGAGGCTGTTGGGGGCTTAAAAATGTGTGCTATGTCTAGTAAAGTTAGCTGTTGTTTTAACCTTCACCAAGTGTCGTCTGGTGTTTGGTCCAGGGTGGACCCCTGATCCCAGTCAAGCCTTTGGCAACTGGGTCTGATGTGCTCCAGGGTCCCTGATAGCTGTGAGGAAGTGGACTTAGCAGAGGTACTCGTTTGGAGCACCATCACATTTGGTTGGAAGCAGTGGCATGACTTCCTGCCAATTGTGTTAACATCCAACACACAACTGGGATCCCTGCACATTGTTTGGAACTCAGAGAGATGGATAGAGCTGGCACCTGTACAGTGTCCTCATCTGAGGTGGAGTTCCAGAGAAGACTACAAGAAGCTCTGTGCCAGTATGAGTACACAGTCTCTGGAGAGAACTGGACCAGATCCGAAAGTAACTCTGGAATGAGGCACTTGAGTAAGTTCAGGTTCCCTCCTAATCCCAGAACAGCGACTTCATGATTAACTGGATCTGCGGATACATTTCCTGGCAGAGCAGCCTCTGGAGGAATGGGTGGTTAAACTTGAGCAACTGGTCTTGATGGAATTGTGGGTGGACAATGGTTACCGAGCCTTATGATGGTATGGAGTCCAGCAGTACCCATGGCTAGCCAATGACGAACATCCAGAGGGTGAGAACTATGTTGGCCCTGCTGTTTTCTGACTCAGGGACATGCAGGAACTTAGGAGAGACCTCCTGGATCTATCAGAAGCGACAGACCTGGAACCTGATCTGACCTAACTTGCCACCCTGGAGTGAGAGCTTGAACAGGCAATTGTTTGACTCTACACAGCAGCAGGTACCAGAGACTGGGGATTCATTACACCTTACATCTGAGTATGTTGGTCAGGTAGATGTGAAAGAAACTGTATTCGCCACACCTGAATCACTCCGTCAGTAAACAGTGATTTAGTAAGTAATGCAATACTACTACTACTATAATAATATCAAAGCATGTAACAAACTTGACACCAGTTAACACATGATAATGACTTAATGTTATGTTAGTTTCGTTGCCCAAATAATGGTTTACTTTCTAGCTTTCACGGTCAATCCAGAACCAGTCACTTTCTAGTCATCTTGTAGCCATTGTTCAAACATTATCATTAACCTCCTTAAATCAGTTCATGTCCCACTGTTCTCTCCATGCATTATATACTCATCCTGCTTACCTGGTCCCATTTCCATTCCGGCACTTTAAGTAAAATCTAGGCCAAACTATGCAAGCTGGACAACACGTTACATTTTTAAGTTTGAGAATTTACCCAACTTTGCTGTTATTTATCTTAATTATTTCATTCACCAGAAATCTCTCATTAGTGAATTAAAGTAACCCAGATGGAAAAATAGAAAACCTGATTTTGGATTTTTTTTTGGCACAGTCAGGGCATGTCATGCAAATCCATTTAACCCCTCCCAGCCCCCCTCAGCAGTTTAATATAAACATAATTATAAATATGCTAGTATAGCATTTCTGTACAGATACCTGAGTGCGCCCAAAACGTCAAGGGGTGATGGCGTTGCCCTATTGAAAGTCCTGCAGAGTAAAGTGCATTTTATACTGATGCCGTTAAGCCTTTATTGATGTGGGTGAATTAGGGGACCCCATAATTCTTCATATTATCATTTCTATAGTTAGTGGAGGAAAACACAATAACGTTCTTCTGCATTTAATATATGCGGGAAATGGAATTTTTGTGGAATTTATACCAGAAGTGGTGCTAAATATAAAGCATATAAAAGTATGTTTTAAGATTAAAACATTACATAATGCTAGCAGTTAATGTGAAACAGTAACATAATATCAAAGTGGATATGCAAAGCAGCAAATTGTTGTTTGTGGTTCAGGAAAAACAGTAACCACAACAGGGAGTCAGTCCCTCGCAGCTGTGACTTGTCCGAGTGTAAAACATCATTTCGGCTAACCCGGAGTATCCAGGGCAGAAAAGGAAATAAATAAAAACATATTCCAAACTGTGGGAAATTTTCCAATACTTTGTGATAGCTGACATAGCGTGGGAAAGGTTTTAGAGCTCAGACTGGGACAAGCCCTCCCTGAGCGAAGTTTGATTTTTTTTTTTAATGCATTGTGTTGGTTTTTTTGGGGGGGATAGGCTTTTAATTTTTATTTTAATTAGTGATGTTGGGAATTGTGGATTTTAATGTTGCCTTTTCTGACACTGAACATAATTAAAACTACAAGAAACTACAAGAAAGAAGACTTAATTTTCAACAGCCATTAGTTTAGTTGCTCCCCCACACTATTACTGTGGGTAGGTAAGGTAATTTATTTTTATGGTGGGGTGGCTTGGGCATTGGGGAGCCATAGTCATGCAGGGGTGAAGGGAGTGACATGCTATTATTTGGGGGGTTGACAATGGTTTGTCCACTCCTCCTTTTTAGAATTAGCTAGGTCCTTCCCTTAATATTATTACTGCTAGTGTCCCTAATGTCCATTGGTGGGGGACGGGGGAAACACACTAGATCCTCCCAATCCATTAATACTAGAGTAGCCCCCACCTGATGGGGCACTTATTAGAGCCATTTCATCTCACATTTTTATAGTGATATAGGTTATTAATGATAAAAAAAAAAATGTGGTAACGGGATATGAATCCGCCACATAATTAACACTAGCACTGCTCGCTCTGCTCTCTATCCTCTAGTGCTACCCGTGGGCAAATAGTTAACTTTTTTGATTTTAAGCCATGATTTGAAGCCTTCAGGCCTGAATTTGCAGAATTTGGATCGGAATTCAGACATTACATAGAATGTGACGGCATATAAGAACCATTCGGCCCATCTAGTCTGCCCAATGTTCTAAATACATTCGTTCAGTCCGGGTGAAATCCATACTGAACTCAGGCCTGTTTCCGGGCCTGGATATTGTTGAAGTCCATGAACAATGTCTGAATTTTGCAGTCCGAATACCCCTGCATGTAGTCAGATGGGTTTGCCCCATTCAGGACAGGGCCATTCAGACTTTGTAAATAACCCTGTATATGTTTGTGTGCTAGCCATTCATCCCTTGTTTTGATTAAAACTTAAGTTAATTTTTTATTCAAACAAAAAAGTGCTTGATAGTCTAGGGGTTATGTGAAAATGGAAATAACTTATTATTTGTGTTAACCTTTTTCTATGAGATGTGTGAGGTAGAGAAGGGGAAATTCTCTTTTGGAAATTCTCAGACACAGATAGGAATAGGATGCCGCTAGAGAATTTGACGCTTATTTCCCAGTGGAGCCCTTGCTTAAGCTCTTATTTCTAACCCTCAGCTCACCTCCTGAGCCCATACCCTATTATATGTATTTTCATTAGAGCACTATATGCGACCGTGCTGATCACGTAATTGGAATGACTGCGCCATTTTTTGTTTGTTTTTTATTTCCCAAGTTTTTAACATTTACTTATTTAATACTATATACATGTTTACATTTTTATGTCACCAATTGGCTAACTGTTCTTGTACTACATGTGTATTTGTATTAAATTATACAATTGTAAATATTAAATTTTATTAAAGATAATTCATTTTTGATCACATGACTATGATGTAATGTGACTGTTAAAATTGAAATTGTGATCCCTGTACATATTGTGTTTGTCCAGATGTATGGAACACTTTGAAAAAGACTCTATGGCATTAGTATTTTCCTATATTGCTTATATTACTATATTTTTTCTTTTTTAAGATAACCATTACTTTAATAAACACGTTTTTATACATTTTACCTCTGGATCTACCCTGACTGATTCTTTGTAGCCTGAATATGTTCCCTTTAGTGAGGTATATACCACCTGAGCCCAGAGGACTGAGCAAAACCTACTTTTACTCCACAAATGAGAGTACCTCTTTTATATATTTTTATTATCTTTTACCCCTTAATAGTGAGCACTATTTTCCCCCCCTCTAAACTGTTTTCTTAGAGCCAGAGAGAGGCTCTATATATTGTGAGTGTGTTTCTTTAATTTAATTCTACCTCAGCACTTAGGAATACTACACTAGATTTGCTTTTTATCTCTGTTTATTTTGCATATCCTTTGGAGCACTTATTACTAGATAAAAAAGAACACACCAGATAGGACATGTATAAAAGTGGAGCTAGTTTGAGCTCCACACTCTGTAAGCGCATTTCTTTCTCTCATTAATTGAAATACTACACTATATTTTGCCATACTCGTCCAATTGTTTTTCATATGTATCTGCATCTGAGAATTTTCCAAAGGCCCTTACACCCTCTCTCCATCTCACACACTTCTAACTGGACGTGAACAGAGAGATTCTGTGTATTTGAGCTGCCTTTTATATTTAGAAACCTGATCTCTGTATATTTGTTTATGAGATACTTACTTTTTAAGTAGATAAAATAGTAACAATGTTTCATTTCTCTCCGTACACTTTCTCTATGCTAACTGCCAGCAAAATAGGGCAGAACTTAAAGCAATGATTGACAAGAAGATGGAGGCGCCCAGTCGCAGGATAGAGATGTTCGGATTTCTACATTTATTTCTCATATCCCAGAAATGCACATTTGGTAGATACATTGATAAGCAAACATAGTATTAAAAATCCTGGAAAGTGACGATTCCTCATTAAGATAAATAGAAATTAGTGCTAATTATAATGTCACTTGTTTTATAATCAAGAGGAAACATTGGTTCAATGAGAAGGAAGAAAAGAAGTAACATTGCATCGTTAGTGATGCTTCCTCCTTTACTCTCGAGATATAAAAATTATTTCATGAACGGGGGGTAAAGATTCAAGCCCACATTCGACTGGGTTAATATCCAGATCCTTGGGGTCCACAGTAGCCTTGAGGGTGAATTTTTGCAGGATGATCGCAAAAAAGATGTAGATTTCCATGCGTACCAAGCTTTCCCCAACACAGTTTCTCCTACCTGTAACGACAGCTTAATTAAGGAGAGAAATCAACCATACTCAATGCTTTTCCAACAGGTGAATGGGTTTCTTTGTCAAGACCTCATAGCAGGTTGTAATATTGCTCTGTAACTCTGATCAAATAAATTTGCCTGTGGCTCGAACACTGTAAATCAGATCTATTTCTACTGTTTAGCTTACACACTCGTATGATGAAAACATAAGGGATGCAATAGGCTCTCACTTTATCACTGCACTCTTGTCATTTTTTTTTAAATTTGATGCACTTAATTTCATTGTAGCTTTATTTAACCCCTTCAGACCGGAGGGCGTACTATTACGCCCTATATTAGGCAGCTCTTAAAAAAGACTGGACATACCCCATTTGTAATACCTTGGGTTGTCTACTATTGCAAATGGTATGCCATTATGGGTGTAAATTTCATTCCTGGGCTACTATACAGTCTCAAAGGCAACGTAACCGATCTGGCGATTTTCAATTTCAAATGTAACGTGCTATATTTGACCCTGTAACTTCCCAAAACGATATACAACCTGTACATAGGGGGTACTGTCTTACACGTGAGACTTTGCTGAATACAAATATGTGTATTTTATTGCAGTAAAAGCAAACAGTATTATGACATTGACAGTTAAAATGTCATATAGAACTAAAAAAAAAAAAAAAAAATCTTATTTTCTCCCATTTGTTTCATATTAAATTATGTTTCACAGCTAAATATTTGATATTAAATGAAAACCCTGTTTCCCCTGAATAAAATTATATATAATAAGGGTGGGTGCATTTACTATGAAACAGGTGAATTACGGTTGGACAGACATGTAGCGCAAATGCCAGGTTTTGTTTACATTTTGTTTTGTTCACAACGTGTACATTTGGCTCCGTCCTTAAGGGGTTAACAATCCACATTTATTTATTAGTTTGTTTGTGTGTGTGTGTATGTGTTTATTTATTTATTTTTCACTGAGTCTGACCCTCCCACTGCAGGGTGACACAGACAGAAGGTGCTATGGAACACAGTCTGACCCTCCCACTGCAGGGTGACACAGACAGAAGGAGCTATGGGACACGGAGTCTGTCCCTCCCACTGCAGGGTGACACAGAGAGAAGGAGCTATGGGACACAGAGTCTGTCCCTCCCACTGCAGGGTGACACACACAGAAGGAGCTATGGGACACGGAGTCTGTCCCTCCCACTGCAGGGTGACACAGACAGAAGGAGCTATGGGACACGGAGTCTGTCCCTCCCACTGCAGGGTGACACAGACAGAAGGAGCTATGGGACACAGACTGTCTGTCCCTCCCACTGCAGGGTGACACAGACAGAAGGAGTTATGGGACACTGAGTCTGTCCCTCCCACTGCAAGGTGACACAGACAGAATGAGCTATGGGACACACAATCTGTCCCTCCCACTGCAGGGTGACACAGACAGAAGGTGCCATGGGACACGGAGTCTGTCCCTCCAACTGCAGGGTGACACAGACAGAAGAAGCTATGGGACACGGAGTCTGTCCCTCCCACTGCAGTGTGACACAGACAGAAGGAGTTATGGGACATGTTGATACATTAACTTGAAGAGATACTGTTACACACTTTTTTTTTTTTATATAATGCCTAATTTCCTCTCTTTCCTTTTATTAATGTGGAAGTTATAGAAACATATCAAAGCGGCAGTTACAGTATATCACAAAGTCTACAAACCTGCAGAGAATGCCAAGAAAGCATTATTTTTCTTAAACGTTCCATTTTCATCCAAGAAATGTTTCACGTTAAACACACTGGGCGTTTCAAAGTGAGAGGGATCATGTAACACAGTTGTTAACATCGGTAAAATATCCATTCCCTGAAAATGGAGAATTTCACAAATTAACACCACTGTCAATGACAAATTTTTTTTGATAATTCTGTCATTTAATGACAAAGTCATAGTCACTAAACATATGTACAAGATGTATAGAACACGTAATGCAATGCATTCAATATGTTTGTCATAGAATCCAAAATGTGTATGCACAAAGATCCCAAGACAAGCAGCAAGACACATTCAAATTGTATCATGATTGTATATAAATTCTATAAATATTCTGTTATATGGTTGGATCCCAATCTCTACTTTGAAATGAAATAATGTCCTGAAAGGACAAACCTACTGTGAATTCCATAGAAAACATCTACACGGACACTCCAGGGGTGTCCAGGGGCTTGACCCCTAAATGGTAAACAAAAGAGAAAAGCTCAGATTGCTGGAGAACCAGTAACTTGAGCATATACTGGAACGATAATAACAGAAATAGTAGGTATTGTAATCGATGAAGATATATATAAATTGAAACTCTTAAACAAACTATCAGGTCATCCCAATACGAAAAAAAGTGTGAACAAGACTGCAGACTACTGACTTTAATATATCTTGATAGGTCAAAGTCTGTAAATATTGTCAGATGAATATCTATAATTTCACGGATACAAATTCCTAATTCCTAAAAGTACTGCCTGTAGTCATAAATATTGTGATACCTACAGTAAAATAATGTATCTAACTTGAATTCGAGTGTATAAAGGACTCCACTTGTTTCAAAGTAGCTAGTATGTAGCTCTGTACTAAATTGGTGTACTGTGGAAACAGTATCCAAATCCCTCGAATAAAGGGAGTAACACTCTAACTGATATTATAGTATCCTATGTAGAGACTAATTATATTGGATAAATATCAAAAAATGAAGTAATAAACGTTCTCCTGCAAAGTTACTAAATAGTAGTAAGGAATAAGGACAGAAGAGGAGGTTAGAAAGCAATTAAAATATTAGTGTGCAGAACTATACTTAGAATGTTGGTTGCCTGCACATAGTGAAAGTGCCCAGTGAAATGGTGAAAAAGTGTAAGAAAACGGAAAACCCGACGCGCGTTTCGGTGCTAGAACATGCACCTTCGTCAGTGGCCAGAAAGGTTAGATACATTATTTTACTGTAGGTATCGCAATATTTATGACTACAGGCAGTACTTTTAGGAATTAGGAATTTGTATCTGTGAAATTATAGATATTCATCTGACAATATTTACAGACTTTGACCTATCAAGATAATTAAGTCAGTAGTCTGCAGTGTATCGTAGTCACGGTTTAGGTTTTGCCAATTCGGCTTGTTCACACTTTTTTTCGTATTGGGATGACCTGATAGTTTGTTTAAGAGTTTCGATTTATATATCTCCATCTATTACAATACCTACTATTTCTGTTATTATCGTTCCAGTATATGCTCAAGTTACTGGTTTTCCAGCGATCTGAGCTTTTCTCTTTTGTCAATCTCTACTTTGGCCTACTTTTACTAATGATAATTAGAGTTTAGTTAATACTTTTACTGTAGCACTTATAACACTGACGTTGGCCTTCTAAATATAGACTAGTTAGATCCTGTGGCAAACTTCCCTTTTCAAGTAAGTTTGCCACGAGATCTTGGAGGGGACTACTTGCCAGCCATTTGCCCTGTGACTATAGCCCCTGCAATAGAACTGGCTAATATACTTCAAACAGACTCTGTTCGTGCAATTGGGACTATATGGTTAGTTTACCGAACAGCCGCACGAATAGAGACCACCCTGGAGCTTGTTAACACCTATTAACAACTTGGAACGTTTCTCACCGCAGTTGTTGGGAAACTTGTATAAAAGGCAGTGTGCAAAAACCTCCAGTTATTTAAATGTGTATAGTGTGAATAGTGATTTGGGATTGTGTGCAGGTGATTTTTTTATTTTTTTTTATTCTACAATTAGATGACCAGTAAAGATATCACTCTCACCTTTATTATTGTGTATATACTTGGTTGTTACATGAATCATTCAAACCTTATCACAAACTAAATGCTCGATTCCAAAACAATTTGTTTTCAGATTGAAAAATTGATTTTATTTAAGATGGGTTTCATATAAGATGTTTAAAGGACCACTCATCACTCCAAAAGGTCAATAAAGTAGCAATAGTACCCAGAGACAACCTTCTTACTTTTAAGTGTTAGACTGTTTTTGCTTTCTGAAGCATTACTTGCCCAGCATGGCCAGGTATGTGTCTATGTGTTAAACAGTGCTTTAGTACCCTATGGATGTAAAATCAGTTACAAACATAGTTTTATGCAAAACATTGTTATAGTAATCAAAAATGAAATCAATTAAATATTTTTTCCTAATGCTTACAGACCTGTGCTTTAACTGTGTGCTCATCCAGAAATGCTATTATTCCACAGAATATTAACCTAGTATGTCCTGATTTGAATTGAAGTCCCTTTTATATACCATACATGAAACCATACCCATTACCTTGGGAATGAGGAAGCCACGGAAATTCACATCTTTTGTAGCGCGTCGAGCAGCACCCATTGGTAGGACATCACTGAACCTCAAAACCTTATGGAGGAAGGCATTCAGATATGGTGTATTGTTCTTGTCTTCCACCACTGGGTCTCGAGCCCGGCCAATGACTTGGTCAATCTCTTCATTCAGACATGCTATATATCATTCAAAGAATAAAAACCTATAGAGGTCCATGTTGTATAGGAAAAGTCAGAGAGAGGGTTATAGGGATAGGGAGTGGGTATAGGAACACTTAGTAGAGGAGTTATACTGAATGGGTATAGTAGTTAGAGGAAGGGTTAGAGAGAGGGTGTATAGGAAAGTTAGAGAAAGGCTTATAGAGAGCGGGTATACATGCAGTTAGAGGAGGAGTGATAGGCATTCGGTACAGGAGCAGTTCTTTACAGGCGTTATACAGAGTGGCACCTCTGCTCTATGGAACATTTTTACATATAGTTCTGCATACCTTGAATTTCTGGAAATTTGATAAGTATCAAAAAGCCAAAATTTAATGAAAGAGCTGTAGTTTCGGCACCTCCAAGGAACATGTCAAACACTGTTTCTACCAGGTTCACTGTATCGAATGGTGTGTCTGGATTTTTCTCATTTTCCTGTTAGGTCAAATCAGATATATTCATCTACTGTAAAGCAAGTATCTTCTCAAGGCAAATTATTGAAATATCTGGCTTTAAGTCTCCTCTAATGTTGTAGTATTTACTTCTAATAATTAGGCTAGTGCACAGACAGAAAATGAATTTTGCTTAGCCATTTTTTCATAAGATGTTTTTTGGGGGGACGGTGTTGTGGCTCCCGGCCCGCCGATATTGCGAGCTTACTTGCTCGCCGGCGAGCCGGGAACCGCTCCTCC